TCTTTTACAGCATTCTTTTTAACCTAGTCACTCCTTATTACCTAAAAAACTTTCACATTTCTCAGTGAGAACAATAGCCCGTCCTCGCGTAGTGTTAACTATCTCCGTCTTAGGTTTCCCTCTCATTCCACTTCCTTCTATTCTAAATCGTTTTCTGTCCAGGCCGTTAGGTTGTGGAACTCACTCCCCTCTTGTATTCGGAGCATTCAATCACTTGCCAGCTTCAAATCCCAGTTTCTTTCCCTTTAATTTCTTATTATTCTCTTAACTATTCTTTCTTTATTCTTTCCAAATGTATGTGCACTATTAAGTATATGTATGTATATTTATATTTATGTATATTTGAGTTTTAAGAATTGCGACTCTGAAGTGGCAATGGGCAGGGCACATAGCTCGTAGGACAGATGGCCGTTGGGGCAGTAAAGTCCTCGAGTGGCGACCACGGACTTCCTGTCCGTCCGTCCGACGCAGCGTGGGAAGGCCTCCAGCAAGGTGGACCGATGATTTGGTCAAGATCGCTGGAAGACATTGGATGCGAGCAGCGCAGGACCGATCGTCGTGGCGATCTTTGGGGGAGGCCTATGTCCAGCAGTGGACGTCTTCCGGGCTGCGATGATGATGACGAGTCTTATATATTTATTTTTGTTTATTACATGCGCCACCTACCCTGTTCTTTTTTTTATTTCTCTAACCACCCAAAGATAGTCTGGAAAAGATTGCTTAGCGATAAGGCCTTTTGTACCAGTCAATATATATTTTATATTTAAATTGTTTTTTTTTTCTGTAATTGGTGTAATAAAGAGTATAAATAAATAAATTAAGTACGTTTTTGCGTCAAGTATTAATATATAGATAATAAAAATGTATCCTATAGCTGTCTGTACATAAAAGATACATGAAAAACCTATTACAGAAATAGAAATAATCTTTATTCAAATAAACTTTATATATCTATATACGTACTTTTAAATTATTATTTATTTTATCAACGTAATTGTTACTAAAACAATGATTGTTATGATTTTTGTTTGTTTGTTTGTCAGACTTTTCAGATAACTTAAACGATTTGTATGTTTTTTTATTAATGTTTTTTTATGGATGTCAACGGAATGATGCACTTGATTGCGGTTTACGCTGGCAGGGCATCTGTGGAGGATGATAACATGATAATGAAGTCAGCCCATCGTGAAAAGTGAAAAAATCATTTGGTTTCCACAGGGAACCCCGTGTAGGTCGACCTGACATGGTACATTACTTGGTCCTAGTCCCCAATACGAACAATCCCCTTAATATCCCCAATATTAACATTACTGAATGTGGGCATACAGTAATGATAAGCTTCATTCAATATTAAATGTTTTTTTTATTGTTTTACTACACAACTCTAAAGCTGTTGATTGCAGCTCGCCCTTACAGCTTCACTAGACGATAAGGAGCAAATACAGATACTCCATATTAGGCACATTGATTTTAGAATAAAAAGTGTAACCCATCACATTTAAAATTAGTATACATGTTGCTAACTAACCGTTATGAAAAACAGATTATATTATATTTGCTGCTATTATCCACTGAATATCTCCATCACTCCAAACCCACGGAATGACTTATGGAGCGGCTGAATACCAAATGCCAGTTCGCAAGAGTGACAACGTATGAGTGATATCACGGGCGTCATATTATAAAGTATTTTATTTTTCGGATTACTCTAATGCTGTTAGTCTAACTGCCGCAGTTGGCCTTAATAGCTTCATCGATAATAGGAAGCGAGTGAAAATGGCACTCTCGGAAGGACTTATGGAGCATCTGAATGCCAACTCCGGCCTGACGGATACGACTTTGACCTGATCACCGCTATTGTTTCGAACCTCGGCTCAGGCCGTCGTAATATCGATCACCATTTGAATTGGACGATGGATCGATCAGAGAGGCGTTGTACAGATATGGAGTCACAAGCTCAACTAGTTTTAAATATGTTTATTAACGTAAATATTGTCTACGGGGAATTTAGAACTATAATCACAGACTCAGTTACATTTAAATATATTTATTAATCTAAATTTTGGGGAAATTTGAATCATAATAACAAAATGCTACTCAGTTAAGACACTTTATAACACTCCTGATATCTGATAAACATGCGGTATAAAGACGCTTCAGCGGAGATATAATGCGACTAACCCTTTAAAACTAATCAGTAGTGGTCGCTCGCTCATTAATATTAGAGCTGTGTTGTATTAATATTAAAGCTATAATATATACATATATGGTTCAATTTGGAGCATTACATTAGGTGAGTTACGACTTTTATGTTTAAAATTCCATTTTTTTAAATAATATTCTAATTTATAAATTACATTAGTCCAAAAAAAGAGGTTTAATGTAATTATGTTCTTTTTAATCCGAGACGCTAAAAGAGGAGTGCAATAAGTTTGGCTTGTTTGTGTATCTGTCTGTGGCATCGTAACTCCTAAACGAATGAAGCTACAATTTAGAGTTTTCTTATATGTATACATAAGTGAATCAGATTGTCTGTTTGTTGGCTATTAAAGACTAAATGGCTGTTCAGAACTTAATGAAATCTGACTTGAAGATAGATTTAATCACAAGACCGCACAAAGAAGATGAAATCGCGGGAAAAACTAGTGAATGCTTTTTAATACACGACTTACATATCTCTCATAAAAAGAAATAACATTAGTATAACTCAAGAAGATGATCCATTTGCGTATAAATATTCAAATTCGATTATCTGTATGAGCGTGATCGAATACGAAACCTTCACGATTATACCTATGTGTTATAAAATTTTAGGTTATGTGTTATATAATTTTTAATTCAGGAATGATATGTAATTTAAATATCTTAAAATTGGGTAATTAAACTATTACGATTTGTTATTAGAATTTAATTTAATAGAATTTTTACTATTAACGAAACTGTCATTGGACAGTGCTATTTTGACGCAATATAACAAAAAAATACGGTCCCCTAGCCAACCGTGGTTGACTCTTTAGAGAACGAAAAGTATTCTAGCCCCGATTATAAAAGTACTTGTGTAAATGGTAGTGTAGTACCAAAAATACAGTATCTAATTATAGAAGTGAAGTTAGATTTCCGAAGCAACGGCTGTATGACCAGAACCCTTTGCCTGTATACATGGTAAAAAATGAACAAAAAAAATTATAGAACTTTAACAAAATGTTGCATAGCACAGATATTACAACACTTTTTCGTTCTATGCCCATGTCATTGTCTATGGTGCGGATGGGATCTGTACATTTATATTTATTATAATCGTAAATACCAGGATAATACATTCCGATTATATACATCAGTGTACTAAAAATGTAACTATGTTTTTAACAATTCTCTATTGCAATAGATTAAAATTGGCGGTTTACGATTTTCTATGTGGATCCGTTATGTAATGAATCTGCAGATTCTTGTCAAGATCAACAGGAAACACCACTACACATCCTATGTCGTTGTAGCCCACTCACGCGTAAACGTCATATCTCCTTTGGAAAGTACACTCTCTATCCTGTGGAAATAAAAACCATCTATCCTAAGAATATCCTTCAATTCTTGTCTCTGACGGGTTTAGGTAGCAAACTTTGAAAAAAAGGGCGAGTACAATAGATCTATGTAGTTCGCAGTGCTACAGGTCTAATGCAACTGACATTAGCTCCAACCCCTCATTAAAAAAATACATAATAAATCATCAGAGGGTTAAGCAGAAATATAATGTAAAAGAACTATGTTTTTAGTACTACAATATATGTATACCTAATTAGTAAATCACGGGATCTTACCACGTTTTATTCCCCCGATATTCAGTTTACCCGTGATCATGGCGGTTGAAACTTCCCAAATATCGGGAACTTAATAAATATAAAACGTAAAGTAAATCACGGGATCTTACCGTCCTGTGATTTACGAATTATACGTATAAATAATGACCGCGTCAAATTTAAACAGTATATCTAAATATATATAACTCAAAGGTGACTAACATGGTTTGGACTGTGCGTTGATCCATCAACGCACAGTCCAAACCACGTGACGTAGGCATCCCTTAAGGAAGGATTTTGATAAATTCCACCCCTAAGGGGATGAAATTTTGTCAATTTTTAACCGATCTGGCTGAGACTTTGCATGCATAAAGCTACTATGACGACGGCATCCCCTAAGAAAGTATTTTGATAAATTCCACCCCTAAGAGGATAAATTAACACGAACGAAGCCGCGGGCAAAAGCTAGTATATATATATGTATATTATAAAACATACAAGTTATGGAATATTTTACATATTAGCGTAGCAACTTTGCGTGGGGTAGCACAGTTTATTGCCACTGGATATAAAATCCGCTATCTTCTTATCATTATCATAATTCATATAATAAAGGTAATCCCAATGTAGTTTAATTAATAAACACAATCTCAGCTTAAACAAACACATGTTAATAAAAAAAAACTTGTAAGCAATAGGTACATATTTTGTCAGTATTTCAGGGTTTTTCATGGATAATGATGATGATATAAAACTCTCAAGCAAAACAAATATTTTTATTTCGAACTATTATAGTATGTAGATTATACATAGAGAACTAGTTTTTACCCGGAACATTGTCTGTTTTAAGATAAAACATAGTCCCTGTTCGTCCTTATGATTATTTATAAGTACTTTTAAACCAAATTTAAATTAATTCAGTCGCTTTTTAAAGGGTGATAAACATACATACAGAGATGTTTTCTTTTCTATAATATTAGTAGATATACATATCTAGAACAGCTACAGTTGTAGTCATCTTTCAGTTCTAATATTTGTGTTATACAGAACTTGAACCCATGACCCATCGTTAGTTTAACCAATGTAATGGTAACAAAAGAAACTATTTATCTATATTATACTCTTTATTGAACTTATAAATTAAATTATTAAAACAATGTGACATAAAAATATTTATAGGTTTATTTGATATTTCAGATCTACAAAATGGTCGCAAACGGAACATTAAAGGAAGGTTCCAGATATGGCAAGATACCTTCAGCTACGCTGGATGAAGCCATGGCACTGGCAGGTAAATCCTTATTTATACTTGAATACTACTCATAACTCAAGTAAATACATTATATGTTATATACTAGTTATTTGCCTATCTGGCTAGAATACAGTTGTCCTTACTGTGCAGTGGTATCCAAATTTACTTTTCTTTTTTTCTCTTTATAACATGACTTCAGATTGTTTTAATATCTATATAGATGACACTCGTATACGTATCTATATACACTCATATATAGATACAAGTATTAATCTGTATATATCACAGCCGTCAACCTATTTATATATCATAAATCACTAGGCATCTAATCTGAGAGTAGGTAATGTTGTAATCACAATTATAAATATGCTAATGCACGTCAAATAGAAGTGCAAGACCCTTTAGATTAGATAATAACTAACCCAGTGGCATCATAAACGATACAAATATGCAGTAATTATTCCATTAGCATATGCAATCATAAATATTATTTGTATCACTACATTTATCTATTACTAACTACTCATCCCGGCTTCGCCCGGGTGTACATGTATTATACATATAAACCTTCCTCTTGAATCACTCTATCTATTAAAAAAACCGCTTCAAAATCCGTTGCGTAGTTTTAAAGATTTAATATAGGGACAGACAATGATAGCGACTTTGTTTTATACTATGTAATGATTTACTTATATATCTAAAATAATGATGCTAAAGTATATATAAAGATATCAGAATCTAATCCAAACTCAGAAGTTAAAAAATTACAGGATAAGAGCATGACATCAGTGCATACCAAATTAATTTATATGAGGGTCTGAACTATGTGCTAGGTTTCTTAATATAATTGGAATTTCATACAAGCTGACGACTAAAAACTAAAGCTGTAAAGGCCAACTCCATTAGAGTGCATGGAGTTGCTGATACATATTTGCCATTCATCGTCATTTTTTTTTCGCGCTTACATGAACAGCACTACGGACATCAGTTTATCATATAACGCCCGTTATACCACTCATGCGTTACCATTCCGGAGAACTAATATATCACATCACATACACATCCTATGTGGTTATAGCCAACTCATACATAAACGAAATATCTCCTTTTGAAAGTATATACTCTATCCTGAGGAGATAAAAATGATCGTTCCTAAGAATATCCTTCAATTCTGGTCCCTTCACGGGTCTTGAAGCGAACTTTAACAAGGGGCAGTACAATAGATCTATGTAGATCGAAGTGACACAGGTCCTACCGCCACTTGACAATAACCCAAAACCCCAGAAAAAAAGATATCCCGCGTCTCGCCTGTATTTCACAGTAAACAAAACATATATTCCAGCTTATAAAGCAAGCTGCTATGGCAGCGGAAATATGTAAGTCTAAGGTGACCTCGATGTAATTAAGAATTTTGATTTGATTTTACAGGTTTAGGTGTATACAATATATTGCATATGTTGCTATGCGGAATTATACTGCTCGGTGTGATCATGCAGAGCCTGGCTCTCGGTTATGTGATGCCGGCAGCACAGTGCGACCTCCAGCTCACGTTGCAGCAGCGTGGCTGGTTAGCAGCCATACCATTCTTAGGTAAGTCACTATTTCAACTACTCTTCAATTACATTTTAAGTCAAGGTTCTAACTTTGACTTAAAATGTATTAGATCATACGCGCTGTAGATTATACCTACGTGAAATTTATAACCTGTGTTATTCTGATGTAGAATATTATTGTAAAGTTTCACTAAAATGCATTCAGTACTTTGTGCGTGAAAAAGTAACGTAAGTAGTAATATCCACCCATTGTTATCATTTATGTATAATCTTCTCTTTCCATCACTCCACAATTCCTTTTAGCCTGGAAGAAATCCCTCATTTGGTGATAAGTCCATTATTGTACAATTTATTTTTAACGCTCGTTGTTCTGGCATTCTAAATGTTTTAATGTACAATAAAGTGTTATAAATAACAAAAACGAAAATATTTTCTTAATATGATAAAATATAACAAAACGCGATCTTTGGTTTCAGCTCAAAATGAACAAATTTCAATAGTAATTGAAGACGATCAATTTATTTTAAATTAATTCCAACATAAAGTTTTGTTACAGTTATTTAGTACCTACAATTATAGAAAATTTATTTCCAAAATATCTTATTTTAAGGCAATGAAAAGCATACCGTACATATATTTTATTTATCTATTTATTTATGATGTACACCACGAACAATATTGTCATAAAATATACCATGAAACCTACGTAATACAACCTAATTGTTTCTATCTCCGTTTGTTCAGAAATCTCAAGTAACAGTATAAATTTATTCTGCATAATAGTTTTCCATTCCTGAGCACTGGCAAGATACATATTTGTCAATAAATAAATAAATTTAAAATCCTATTTCGATCTGAGTGAAACTTTTTTTTTTCAGCTATAATTCTGATGTCCTATTTATGGGGCTGGCTAGCTGACACACGCGGGCGCAGACCAGTCATGCTGTTCTCTATGCTCGCTAACGTTGTCTTCTCTGTGCTCACCAGTTTCGCGCCAAACTTGATCACGTTTGCCGTGCTGCAGTTTTTTTCTTCTGTATTGTTAGTATTTATGATATTAGTTATGTCGTATTTATTGAATGTTCACTTTACTTGACTTTGACTTCACCAAAGTCTCGTAACTCTATCTTAACGGCCTTGAGTCGTCTAGCGGTTTACCACACTGCTTGATTTCAGATAGTCGCAGATACGAATTTTTTGCACGATTTGTGTTTATGAGTATGATTGTTTGTATTTATCTGAGTGTTTTCTATGTATATTATCAATAAATGTGTTTAAGTATTTCTATCAGTTATCTAGTACCCTTAACAGAAGCTTGTTTAATAATTAATTTGGTACTAGATGGTGCTTTGTTTAGGTTTAATAAAAATATATTTAAAACTATATGCACTTTTTAATGTATGAATATGAACTGGTGATCCTTCTATATATATTGTCTGTGCTAACAGCAATATAGATAGAAGATACAACAAGATACGTATATCTATATGTATATACACGCGTATATATCATGTGGACCATACCACGTTATTATGTGCCCTGACTACTCCAAATACGGTGTAATTCAGGAGAAAGTCGTTTGCACGTGTACTTTCCAGTATAGAATTGTATATATACATATATATATATATATTCGCGCATTTAGAGGGTAAATAAGTCTCTAGAAGAGATCTCATCAAGTCCTGTACTATTCAAGATTTTCTATAAATTTATTTCTAACACTGTGAAGAAATTGTAATTATTTTTATGTTAGGCTAAAAAGGACTTGTATCCAGAGCAGTAAAATATAATAAAAAAAAAATAGAGGGTAAATGTTATTATATTATACTGTCTAAGGATCTTTGCCTGTTCCATCACTGAAAAGGAGATGGACGAACATGGAAAAAAAAAAGTTATTATATTATATATAGACGACGAATGCCACTTACCATCAAGTGTTCATTCAACTTTTTTTGCCACTCCAATAATATCTAAACAAATTCCGTTATTTTCCAGTATGTCAGGACCTTCAGCTGTGGTTTACACGTTCATTGGTGAATTCAACAACATACGACACAGAGACAAAATGGTTGCATTCGGATCCTCCTTTGTCGGGATCGGAACTGTCATTTTACCCGGTGAGTGTGTGCGTTATGATGATTATAACACGAGGCGGAATTTCAGCCCGAGCCATAAGCGATGGCGTAATAGAGCGGAGTGTGTTAAATACGCTCGTATGTTGTACGACGTTTTTTTAATAAACTTGATTTTAAATAAACTCAACCTGTGATGCACAGAAATTTCCGGCCATTTTACATTTTTTAAACAGCATGCTGCCTACTACTTTTTCGTCGATCATCGGCACATGAAATTTGATAAAAAATAGCACATAGTGCAACTTCCCTATTTACGTTTATAACGCACGCGTGTTTTATGGGTTGCTTTATATATTACTAGCTTTTGCCCGCGGCTTCACTCGCGTTAATTTATTCGCTTAGGGGTGGAATTTATCAAAATCCTTTCTTAGGGGATGCTTACGTCATAGTAGCTTTGGGCATGCAAAGTCTCAGTCCGATCGGATTAAAATTGACAAAGTTTCATACAAATTTTCATCCCCTATTTTATGCCTTTGGGAGTAGAATTAATCAAAATTCTTAGCGGATGCCTACGTCATAACATCTACCGACATGCCAATTTTCAGCCCGATCCGTCCAGTGATTTGGGCTGTGCGTTGATAGATCACTACGTCAGTCACCTTTGAGTTTAGATTAGTTTTTATTATTTAGATATTTAGTTTTCATATTTAGATAAGGGTGATGCTTGTTAGGCAAATGATAGGTACAACATTTGAGTGTATACTGTTCCGTTTATTATAATAATCAATCCTTATATACTACTTACTTACTAAGTACATTCATCCTTACAATATCTAAAAACAGTGAAATTATATCCACATAACAAGCAAGTGTGATGAAAAGATATAATTCCGACCTAGTTACGGAACAAAGTACTTCTCTGTTCTGTGATCCTAATAATGTAAATTTCTTTAATTTTATATTATATATTTTATTTTATATGTATATTGTATACATATATTAGATGTATATGTATTTATATTATGTGTATATATATATATATATATATGATATATTACTATTACTATTTACGTCTATTCATTCTAACTCCCGCCATTCACCACTGTCTCCTGTCTTTTCTCCTCTATCCAAAGGTTGTCCGGAAATCGCTTTGGCGGTAAGATCGCCTTTTGTACCTAGCCTACCTTTCTGTATACTATGAATTTTTTTTTTTTGTAATTGTTTAAGGTGCAATAAAGAGTTATAAATAAAAAAAAACTATCTAATATATAAAATCCTCGAGTCACAGTGTTTATAACATAAACTACAGCAAAACTGCTTGACTGATTCTTGAAAATTTGTGTGTATGTTCAGTAAAGAGATATATGATAACAGTTTTTCAATTCAAGGTTTATTAATTTTTTTGTATTTTTTTTTTTTATTTTGATTCAGCATTAAAAAATAATACATACAATCCTATTTTTTTTTAATAACGATATTAATTTATATAGCCATAACTCTTGGCGGATCACCTTCTTCAGTCTTCGTTTAAAATATTCCTTCGTTTACTGTATGTGTCCTTTTACGTATAATAAAGTTCTATCTATTGGATATTAAAATTATATCAACGTAATTTTTTTTCTCTACAGCTATCTGCTGGCTGATTCTACCTCTGGAATTTTCGTTTTACATTCCATTCCTGGATATCTTCTACCGTCCCTGGCGCCTCCTGGTGGTGGCCTGCGCGGTGCCCTACATGATTAGTTCCGTGTTGCTCCTCTTCACTCCTGAGAGCCCCAAATTCCTGAGTGCTACTGGCCAAAAGGAGAAAGTATTAGAAGTTGTAAAGAACATTTATTCTGTGAACCATAGACAACACAAGGAAACGTTTCCAGTGAGTATTTCAGCCGTCAAATTTATGTACAAGAGGTATTTCTGCCGTCAAGTAGCGTGATTGGAGGGGAATCGGATTGTTAGTAATGTGTATTAAGAACTCCATTTTTAGCATGTACTATGTTAGTTTAACTTCCACGCGGTTTCCTCTAGAAGCCATCGTGATAAATTACTGGTGAATTTGACCTGACCTCATGCTCATCTTATCAGCTGCTCATCCTCCACTGGTATACCTGCCTGCGCCAGCGCAAACCGTTAGCGCAGGAACGTTCACCATATCAATGCATCCATTTAAAAAAAATAGCTTGCTTTGTAATCTGTGTATACTGCAGCATGATAACTCTGGTAGTGACGGATTAAGGGCTAGGGATCGTAATTTTTGGAGCTCTAAATTATTTTCATATCCCAATTATACGGAATCGTTGATTAATAATTCACGGCCTTGAATTTCATGTACACATGTACAATTGTACATATTGTCTGCTTTAGTCTTTGTCCGTCATTGAACCCTCGACAATTGCGCTTAACCACAGCGTCAATTAGTCCCACGACAAGCAGAGCTTGTGTTATGGGTACTAGACAACTGATATAAATATATAAATTCTTTTTATAAATATATATATAATATACATAGAAAACACCCAGATCGATACAAACAATCATATTCATGAATAAAATGTTTGCACCGACGAGAAATCGATCACGCGACCATCGGAAGTAAAGCTGTATGTGTAACCGCTAGACTACCGGAGTAGTCAATATCTTATATATATATATCTTATTTATCGTTTTATATCATTTATTTTTATTTTAATTATACATATTTGTGCATATGGAAGTGATGCAAATAAATCAAAAGTTATTTTTTCGAACAGGTAGAATCTATATTAGTGGAAAGTCAAACGGAAAAGTGCCCTGAAGACAAGGGCATAAAGGCGATATTGTCATCGATGCGGGATCAGACTGTGCCACTCTTCAAACCGCCTCTACTGCCGTGGACCTGCCTCACCTGCTTCGTGCAATTTGGAATATTTGCCACGTGAGTGTATAAACACTTTGTTGTAAATATATTAATACTAGCTGTGGCCGCGACTTCGTCCGCATGGAACAGTGACTTTAGATAGCATTAGATAATTTTTTTACAAATTTTGTCATGTTAAGTTTATCTAACATTTTTTTGACCCCCTATTTATTAATGGGGGGTAAAAAACTATCTTTGAAAGTATGTTATTTTATTTTATTTCATACGCTTAAAAGTGATTTTATAAACTTGCAATGTCATATTTATTTATATTTAATCAACACCATAAAAAAATATTTCCTATTTAGATTATAACTAGCTGTGCCCGCGACAACGTCCGCGTGGAATACTGACCATGACCAAATAAACAAAAAATATTTAATAATCGAACCCAAAAAAGCCCAAGTAAAAAGTTTCATCGTTTGATCTTCAAAAATGATGAATTTCTATACAACCTTTCATGTCCCCTTTCAATCCCTTATAACTCTTTTTCTTTATATTTAATCAATTAATCAATTCATCAATTTTTAATCATTTAATTTTTTTAATCAATTAATCAATTTAATAAATATTTAATCAACATTTTAAAAATAAGTTTCTAGCTTCCAGCTTTAAAAATTACGATACTTCCATACAACCTTTCATCTCCCTTTTCTACACTTACAACCCATTTTTCGCATTAAAAAGTATGCTATATCCTTTCTTAGTGTCTAGACTGTGTGTGTATCAAATTTCATTTAAATCGGTTCAATAGTTTTGGCGTCACTTCAGCATTTATAATATTAGTAAGGAAATAACGATATTACTAAATCTACTTTTGTGTTATATTTTAGCACAAATGGCTTCTATGTATGGTTTCCAACGATTCTGAACGCGGTAGTAAACCACGACGGGGGACCGATGAGGATCTGCGACATTCTCTCGAATAGTAACGATGTCAGCTCCAATGGCACAGATGTGAGTAAATTTGTATAATAAAATGGAATATAACAATATGTCTTCATGTTTGATGTCCTATGTCAATATTATTACTGTTGTGGTCTTAACACGTATAAAAACATCTCTCCGATTTGCTTCCGATAGGCGCGGGTTGGCACATAGCAAACATTTGTATTAATGTCTATGATTGTTTGTATCGGTTTAGGTATGTTGTATGTTTTGGATATTACATATGTAAATACATATTTCAAACGTATTATTTAAGTATTTCCATCAGTTATCTAACAAGTCAAAAATCATTTATTCATGTAGGACATTTTAGCCGCTTATGAACGTAATTTTTTTTGTGTTCTATAATTTTTCTGTCTATATCGGATATCCTTTGGTATCTTATTGTAATGTTTTATACCCATTCCCATAAAAGACCCATTGACTTTTCTAAACGATACTTAGGAACAGCAAGTTTGTCTTTAAATCTAGTATTAATATTATGAATATTGCTATTTTTTGGGAATTAGTGAAGATTTGAAAATATTTGCCTCTTTGAATTTCTGTCTTAATGAATCACGACTCCTTACGACTGCTTTCACAGTAAATCACTCGAATCTAGTTATGGGTATAACACAAATTCAGCCTATCTAACTTGATGGCACTGTGAAGTGTCCTGAGTTACTATTACTATACCTAAATATTAACATTAAAAAATGTATATAAGTGTATCTATCAGTTGTCTAGTACACACACAAGCTCTGCTTAGCTTGGGGCTAGATGGCGTTGTGTGAATTGTCCAGGGATTGTACCAGAAATTATTACTACCACAGATAACATAATATTACATATACTAAAAGGTTTAAAGATGATTGTTCAACTGCTATAAAACTCTTATTCACTTCCAGATTGAATGCAACGATTCTATGAATACAGCGACCTTCCAGAACTCCATCTACATCGGACTGGTCTTCAGCTCCATGTACTTGATAGTCGGCTTCCTCGTTGACTTCGTTGGCAAGAAGCTCATTTTGGTAACCTTGCTATTCTCCACCGGAGTCTGCGGTATCTGCGCTCAGTTCGCGTACAACAAGCAACTGGCTGTCGTCCTCTTCGCCGTGTTCCAGATGTCTGGAGCTTGCATCGGATTGATGACTGCTGTGGCCGTGGAAATGTTTCCAACTAAATTTAGGTGGGATCATCTTATACATAACAATCTTGTGTCACAATGTTAGTTAGCATTCTCTTAAAATTTTTATAAAAAAAATTATGCATATTTAGTAGGTCTGAGAATCGGCTACTATCTTTTTTTCTTACCCCCATGTGACGAGGGTTAACATTTTTTTTTGTATTTTTTTTTATAGTGTGGCATTTAAAACTGCATACAACCCGAAATTTTCACCCTTCTACCACCAGCCCCTATTTTTTAATAGCAATATTAGTACTGAAATTTATATGGCAAAACAATGATTTGCCGAATCAGCTAATCTAAGCAAGGGATATCACTATCATTACACAGTATAAAACAAAGTCGCTGTCGCTGTCTGTCCCTACGTATGCTTAAATCTTTAAAACTACGCAACGGATTTTGAAGCGGTTTTTTAATATATATTTTGAGGCGGTATATATATATATATATATATATATATATATATATATATATATATATATATATATATATAATACATGTACACCCGTGCGAAGCCGGGACGAGCAGTTAGTTATACTTGTGAACTGGTTTTTATTATAGTTTTTTTTATATTAGCATCTCAAATATTAACACTTATTGTCAACAGGGCGATGGCGCTGTGTCTATCTATGATGATGGGCCGAGTGGGGTCCATGTTGGGTTCTAACCTAATAGGAGTGTTCCTACAGTCCAATTGTGGAGTCAGTTTCTATCTATTTGGCGGGATTATCATATGTAAGAAACTTTATTTTACTAGACCACTTCTTTAGGCCTTTAGGGATAAAGGATAAGTAAAATATGATAGGCCTATGTCCAGCAGTGGACGTCTTCCGGGCTGCGATGATGATGATGAAAATATGATAGCGGACTGTGAAGTCATTTTAAAGTTACATCAAATTAGGGTTGCCAACACCAAGTTTAAAAAACTAGGATATGAAGTAAGAAAAACCAGGACAATTTAGTTTAAAACCAGGGCTCAGTAATATACTTGTTATAATTATATTGTAATATAATGCAAATAGGCTAAATTAATAAAATTCAAGTAATAGTAATAATCAGTCATCAGTAGATATTTAATAAAAACTCTACCATTCGAGCAAGCATTGTAAAAGTGGTGCGCGAATTTTGAAAATACATGATCTTATCAAAGCGTTTTAAAAACCCAGGAACTGCTCAAAAACTATCCAAGGACACTACAAAAACTAGGACATGTCCTGGGAAAGCGGGACGGTTGGCAACCCTATATTAAATGGGAACTTGAATTATTTCATTAATAAGGTACACGTTGACATTGTAGGCGCAAGGCAATGTCATGTTCGAAAACGCTCGAACACCACTCCATATATTTTCCTGTTCGTCCCTAAATCCAAATTCAAATTTAAAAATCATTTATTCATGTAGGTTTTCTTTTCTCTAACGCTGTTGGTCGCAGCTGGCCTTTACAGTTTCACCGGACGATAGGGGGCGAGTACGTATGGCACTCCAAACCCGTGGAAGGACTTATGGAGCGGCTGAAAGCCAACTCCCGCCTGACGGATACGACTTTAGTCTGTGGGTACCGCTAAGGGTTCGAACCTCGACTCAGGCTCGTAATTTCGATCCCTGTTTAAATTGGACTGGTATTCATGTAGAATATTATAGTCACTCATATAAGTTTTTTTTCCAGTGAACTCCATATTTTGTTTGACTTTGCCTAACAAGAAAAAAGAAAACACACCTACAACGGTAATATTGACGGAGCCAACACAAAATGAGACTCACGAACCAGTATGAAGTGGTTGTTGTAATCTGTACACCTGGAACAGATATCTACTTACGAAATTACAAATCACATGTAAGATGAAGAAATAAGAAACGAAGAAAATTGTGAAAAAATATGTATGAAGGAGAATAAATGAAATAATGTAGTTTAGTTTTTTACTGAATTTGTATGAAGTGTACTGATCTTGCATAAAGTGTACTGACTTTGTACAAAGTGTACTGACTTTGAACAAAGTGTACTGACTTTGTACAAAGTGAACTGACTTTAAACAAAGTGTACCGGCTATGTACAAAGTGAACTGACTTTAAACAAAGTGTATTGACTTTAAACAAAGTGTACTGACTTTAAACAAAGTGTGCTGGCTTAGCACAAAGTGTACTGGCTATGTACAAAGTATACTGAATTTGTACAAAGTGTACTGAATTTGTACAAAGTGTACTCACTTTGTACAAAGTCGTCTCCGTAGATATTTCTGTCGCCAAGGAACTTGCTTTGTAAACTATGTGTTGAAAGGTGAAATAGGACTGTGATATTAATTATAAGGTTCAGAGCCTTTAGTCCTCAAGAATTGTAACGCATGAAGGATATTATAATCGTCAAGTCTTGTGATTTCCGTGGTACTGTTCTTATATAAAAGGTTACCACTTGCCATGAGATAGGCGGTCAGATTGTATGACATTTCATTTACAAAGAAAAATGTTATTTATAATAGAACTATATTTAGTATGAGTTAAGAATGAATGTGTTTAATTATAATACTTCATGGATTTATATTATTTTGTGTAATTTCGCTACCATTCTCGTGTGTGAGAACACAAATATATAGTGCATAAACCTAACCACAGCTACAGCTATCTTCTCTATTAGTGATCAAATTCACCTGATCATATCAGATTTGAACAAAATAATGTAAATCCATTAAGCGATGAAATCGACTCCAGCAATTTAACAGCTAATTCTAAAGAATGTTTTTAACTTATTTGTGTCTATGACGTTAGTTGTTATTTATAAATGTATGCAACCTCATTTTACTACATTATATTATATGACTTTTAAAAAAAGAATACAGAACACTCTAATTTTAAATTTGGCATTCTGAGCTATATTAATGGAGGGAAAATACAAAATCCTTTACATTAGTACAAAATATTTGTATTTGTTTTATTTTCACAAGAACAAAAGGATAGTACAAACAATTTGCTTCTGGAGGTAGAAGTAATGTTATGCATTATATTAATTAATTATATTATACCTATTTTTTACTTGAATGAGTTTCATTTATAAACTAGTTGATATCCCCGACTTCGCCCGTTTAACTGTGATTGGCAGCGATAAAATGTGAATTAATTTAGCAAACACCTGGTTACTACTGTGCTAGCTAGCTAAGCTATTTTGAAAACAAAAGATATAGAGTTTTCATTTCATAGTAATATTAATAAAATCTCAAAAAAAGAAATATAAAATTAGCAAACTAATAGGTATAGAATAAATTTGTACGTCTGTATTCATATTTATATTAGAGAGAAAACCACCAAATCAACAATTTTAAGTGTTGACAATGTCCTAAATACTACATAACTAGAACGAAACCTAAACTGAATATATGCAATTTTTATAATGTTAAAATGCTTGCACACTTTCATATAAAAAGAGTTTGCTTTAGTAAAATACGTTTATTAAAATGACAGGAGTTGTTGTTTTGCGCAGTCCACATGCGCAGTAAATTAGCCGCTAACACTCAAAACTTGTCTATGTCTCTTTCTGGCATTACATGTAACTTCATATTTCTCTCTATCTTGCGATACCTACAGTTCACTGTTTCTTCAGCCTTTGGTATCGTAAACAATTTTCAAACTTGAAATTCAGCAGTCAATGTCATTTCATGACAACGGAAGTAGCTTCCGGTTGCCCTACACGGCGGAAATAGCAAGTTTCTATTTCCGGGAAACCTGGAGGAGGGCAGGAAAATTTCAGTATTGTGGGCGGCAGTACCAGGGCACCAAAGATGCAAGGAGGTAAACCGCTCCCGTGATATGACTGCAATTACGCATGCGTGCCAATATTGATTTTCTCGCACCCCTACACTTGATGAATGGAAAGCTAAGAACACTTAGAACCTATACTGTAGTAACAGATATAAAAATAATACTAATACACGCATACAGTTATTATTTATATTTTTTTTCTAAAGATTTATGAAATTCGATATTATTTGGGAATACTCAAAAATAATATAATATAATGTCATGATAATCAGAACTATATATAAGTCTGAAGATAATTTCAATAAAATATTAAGGGATAAAATAAATCTGTCGTTAGATAAAAGTACCTACTAGAAAATTAAAACTACGCAGTACCACCTTTAATAGATTTGCAACGCTCTGGCTCCCCCAGCGGACTTTAATGGTTAATAAATTTTCCCCGCTGTAGATGTCTTTCATTTTCTGTTTTCCTAGTAACTCAGATGTCGTGGAAACTTGTCTGAATAGATCTCAAACCATTTTCCAACTGAAGCCATTTTCCAAGACAGCATATGTACGTAGCATAGGTACTAGGTACTAGGTATGCAATCATTATTAACAAAAAAATTACAAACTGAACAGAAGTTTTTTTAAATAAAATTACTAAACTGTTTTTATTAAAAAATAATACAATTCACAATTAATTAAAACAACGTTTATACAGTTCATTTATTTATTTCGTAATAATTTTAACGTTTTCAAACGAATCTTAAGTAATCGCAAAAGTTTCTATTTCAATCTGTTCAAAAGAAAAGTTATTCAGTGAGTTTATAAATAAATATCCACTAGGAAATACATAAAAAATATGAAATAATGTATGTGGTAATACCACATATAATTACTAACAATTCAAGGACTGCATTATTTGCTTGAAACCAGATTAGTTACAGAACTTAGTTATAAATAATTATGTTTTACCGCCAAGAGTCTATTTGGAATAGATTTTAATCCTTGCGAAAGTATCCTCGGAGCTCGTTCAGGCAAATATTAGTGTCGTAGTAGTTGATAAAAAATAAAATTAATATAGGTGGTTAAAAATCGTTGAAATTGAGTCTAGTAAATTGTTGTTCAATCAGTCTTCACCAACCTCAGTAGGTTGGTTGTCGACGAACGGTCGACGGATCCGCCATTTTAGATATACTTACTAGGACACCATGATTTTAAAAGAGACTAGGTCTAGATACCAATCGGTTTTCAGAATATACAGCAATGTACAAACAAACAAAAAAGGAAATGATAAATAAGTAGGCATCTACTATTAATTTAATTCTAATGATTATGTCCTTTGCTGATATCTTGTACAAAATTAGTGCAAACAGGACAAACAGGTTACAATTCTACAGATGTTGAAGTTGCGGGCAAAGTTACTAGTAGAGTTCATATGAAAGTTTTAAGAACATAGTGCATCAAAAGTACAGTTCGTTGAGTGAATGTTTGAATCCGTACTGTTATATAACATACAATACAATATTGAATATTTTCTCGCCATTTTAAACTTTTTAGAATTTATACACTCGACTATGTTTATTACCTACCTAGTCATAGGTAAATTGTCTAGAATTATATTAGAGGAATAAACTGTAAGTTAACCATATTTATTATAATTATTATTAATACTTTATAAATTTGATAATTCACATCACACATCAAGAAGGCTGTGTGGTTTGTATTTAATGCCGTATATATTGTTATGAAATTAAAAAATATATATGACAGTCAACGTTGACAGTGACAGTGCACAGCACAAACTCAGACTTGATTTTGCAATACGAATCACATTTGTGAAGTTTTGTGTCAAAATCAGTCGAACAGAAGTCACAAATTACACATACAATTTACATCACATAACTTATTTATGTGATTAGTGTACTGCATTAATTTGCATCTATACGAACTATAATTTCGCGTTCACTTGTTAATTATATCACAAAATAATTTGAAGTTGTCGGTGGTCCCCGTTAAGGAAATGAGTGATTCCGCCGGTGATAGTTCAAAACCACGAGTTGCGGTTTTAGGAGGTAACTTATTTAACGTTTTCTCGAGTATGATATATATGAACTTATTTAAGAACTATTTCAAAAGTCGTTTAACTTTAGTAATTTATATTTTTAAACGGTCTTAGTAATGTCTTCAATACTTAGTCATTCGATGTTTTAAGATCGCTGAATTGTTACAGGTTGTGGTTTTATTGGGCGAAACCTCGTAGACTACCTAATAACTGAGGATCTAGTGAGCGGTGTCCGGGTGGTAGATAAGACTCCTCCTCAACTGGCCTTCCTCAATCCTGCTCATACTAAAATATTCGAAGACCCCCGCGTAGAGTACAAGAGCGCCAATCTAATAAATCCTGGTGAGTCATGAACAATAGCAGATCTAATAATAGATATTTCTTATAGTGTCTCTTAAATATTTGCAAACTATACCTGTATTTTTTTATACATATACTGTGTACTAGGGTACCAGGAAAGCATGATAATGTGAAGATTAACTCTAGTCAGGCCATCATGATATATTCACCAACAATTAACCATATGTGTCGGCTGTTTACCAGTGGGCTATTCAGCTGACTTGACTAAATTAATATAAACTGTCATGCAAAAGTAGGAAACCCATATATTGAGGTGGTAGAAGTAAACAAAAAACATCTTAAATATAAATTGAATACAAGGTAATTTCATCAAATTACTTCAATTTATATATATAAGATTTTTTTTGTTTACATTGAATGGCAAACAATCTGATGGATCACCTAATGGTAAGTTATTTCTAAGGTAAGGGGTGTATTGTATAAAAATAATAAAAATACATATAAAAATTTTATAGACAAGTTCTAAACTTCAACTAATGTATAATACTAGCTGTTACTTGCAACTCTGTCTAATATTTTTGAGATAAAAATAGCATCTACTACAGTCCTGATGGTGTAAATCTTTCAGTCCAAATTTAATTAAGATTGGTTCGACCAGTTAGTCATGAAAACATACCAATAGACAGAACCACTTTCAAATGTTTATAAAAATATCTAGCTGACCCCGCCAAAGAGCTTAGAGTAATAAAATTAAAATACTAATATCATTAACATTAATAAAAAATAAGAGTTCATGGTAGAAGACTGAAAATTTAGGATTGTATATATTTTTAAAATAATAATTATATAATATATCTATTTTTGAGCAATAAAAATTAAAGGTTGAATTGACCACCCTTATAATTTAGAAGTATGAAAAATAGTTTAGGTGTTCGAGACTCGGCCGCTATAAACACTGTTACATGAGAATTTAATATGTTAGAAAATATGTATTGTTGTTGTTACATTATTTCCCGGTGAATATTACACATAGTATCCTGGTGTTGGCTCTACTAGCTCACTGATAAGTTATCAAGGCTGCTATGAGTCACTTCCATTTATTCTTAGTTATTATAATGTTATGCACATTCCTATTATTATTTATACATGTAGTTATTGATGTTATTCTTTTGTAGGTCTAGCATATATTAACATATTTTACTTGGTATGTTTCACATGTTAAACATATATGTTGAAAGAGGATTGTAATATATAATTTAATACTGTAGGATTATTTTGCAAGTCTCACCCGCGATGTTTCCACATTTAGAAAATTATTTTAGTGATGTATAGCTCATTTATCTACTGTATAATATCACACTATTCTTAATAGAGCAGAGCTGCAGTGGAAAATGTAGCAAAAACTATAATATAGCACTAGTATATTTATATGTGTATACACTAGCTGTGCCCACAGTTCCACCCACATGAAATTTATAGCCTATATGTTATTCTGCTATGTAAGCTATATTACTGTAAAGTTTCATCAAATATCCTCAGTAGTTTTTGCCTGTAAAGTAACAAACATCCAGCCATACTCACAAACATTTGCATTTATAATATTAATAAGATATGTATCATCATGGTAAACTAAGATTTATTGACACATATTTTATGTTGTTAAAGGTATTTCGTTGGATGTCTAAAATAAAAATAATACTTGAATAATACTAAATAATAAAAGTAATAAATTAAAAATATGTACTCGAAAGGAAACTTTACAAAGTTATAAAAGAATATTAATTTCTTTTTAATTCTTTAACAAATTGTTACAAGTTCATATACCATATGGTATATGAACTTTAACAATTTATATTCAACAAATTATTGTCAAGAAGGGTTAACTTCTAGAAGATTTTAAACAGTTTTTTATCTAAACTATTTTATACCTTCCTAACTAGATTCCTAACATCTACTTTTTCTAGATAAATTATTATATATACATAACCTATCACCGTATGCCTCATATCATTTCAGTTATTTATACAAAAAAAAACTAGCTAGCCACTCTGGCTTCGCGCGAGTATACATATAAACGTTCCTCTTGAATCACTCTATCTATTGCTAAAAACTGCATTAAAATCCGTCGCATAGTTTCAATGATCTAAGCGAACAGACAACGGTATCGACTTTATTTTAAACTATGAAATGAAGCGGCCCAGAATGAAATTGCATTTGTCTATTGTTGAAATGTCGATACACTCTATGACTACACGTAGCCAAGTGTCTTATATGAATTTCTTATTACACACTCATGAGGCGTTCACCGACTATTGTGTTGGCTGCATAATATGCAATATGCATACAAATCAGTTAGACCTTGATATGCACATTTTTGACGGCATTTAATAAAGTGCCTCTAATTAACTACATTAAAGTGTTTGTACTGCTCCAATAAATCTTAACTCCAGCGCTAATTAGTCTTTACCTATTAGCATTTTGGCATACCACATTTTTTTCAGACAGGATTTTGCCTGCAGCCACAAAAAAAAACTACACATAATAATAATAATCACCATCTTTGTTTGTAAATATATATTAAAACTAGCTGTGCCGGCAAACGTTGTTTTGCCTTAAAATAAAAAAAAATTAATGGTGGACTACCCCTAATATTTAGGGGGATGAAAAATAGATGTTGGCCGATTCTCAGACCTACTCAATACGCTCAGAAAATTTCATGAGAATCGGTCAAGCCGTTTCGGAGGAGTTAACGAAAACTGTGACACGAGAATTTTATATATAAGAAGATATATATTATAAACTATAAGTACATCACCTGGTATATAAACTTAAGAATGTTATAAAGGCGAATGCGCGATGTTGGTTACTCTTTCACGCAAAAACTACTGAACGGATTTTGATAAAACTTTACAGTAATTTAGATTATACATAAGAATAATATATCCTTACTATATAATATTATAATTGTGAAAATAGGGATGTTTGTTACTCTTTCACGCAAAAACTACTGAACCGATCATCATGAAATTTTGTACACATGTTCTTGAAGATATTAGAATTAACATAGGATACTTTTTATTGAAAACAAACAAATATTTTCTATTTAATGGATTCAATGCGAGCGAAGCCGCGGTTAAAAGTTAGTAGGCTATAATTTGAAAAAATATAATGCCAATTGAGTAAAGTGTGATGCAGACAAACTTGCGCGGGTGAGCTAGTTATAAAAATAAATTACTTACTAACGTGAGCTTAATAGCAACGTTGTAATGTTACACAGCATCATGCGCCGCTGCCCTGGACCCTGGCAATGGAGAACCGTGGGCTCTGGTAGTGAACTGCGCGGGGGAGACCAGGGTGGGCCAGTCGGAGGCAGTATACTCCGAGGGTATCTATACCCTGAGCTGCAATGTGGCTAAAGAGTGCGCTAAACAGAAGGTTGCCAGGCTTGTTGAAATATCCAGCGGTTTTATGAGCAGTAAAGACAAGGTATGCATACATTTTTACATTTCTCTCATTTTCTAGTGTTATATTGACAACTTCTGTGGTCTAGAGGTCTAGTAATCCACAGATTGCACTTCTCCACTCGTTTTCTACTCTTATATTGACAGGCTGTTAGGTCTAACAGTTTAATACTGGGTTCGATTACTCGTATAGTCTTATTTGTGGTCGGCGCGGAACCACTCGAATATCATTATGGTACATGTTGATGCGGCTCGAATCCTCAGAAGATAGGTGATGTTGGCTTCAGCAGATTACGGGTTGTAGAAAGTGATAGACTTTGCTTACTATCTTAAATTTAATTGGTAAATACTATTATAAATTACAAATTAGGATGAGTGAACAAATTGTACTTTAGATCGATTGGTTGATATTTTAAGTCTGTTACGTTACGTAGCGAATTTAAACTGGATGGGTGTGCGCTTCAATCAGAACGCTCCTTTTGTGTTGCGTTTTGTTGCTGCTTGTACGCGACACATTATTAGAAAGAAAACATTGGGGCCAAAATGCCTATTAATAATAAATACTAAAATAGGCACACAATAATTACACGCACTGCACTTACTTGGTTTCGGCCCATAAATGTTGTATACATCATAAAACGTAAAAAAACCAGTAACAGCTGAGTTAATAAGACTATAATAATAATAACCCTCGAAATTAACACAGTGTAATCTAGTCTCACGGTAAGCAGAGCTTGTGTTATGAGTACTAGACAACTAAACTGATATAAATACTATTTTTTAAATACATACATAATATACATGGAAAACATCCAGACCTATACAAATAATCATACTCAAGAATACAAATGTTTACACCGTGCGAGGAATCGAGTCCACGACCATCGGAAGTAAAACGGTGTGCTGTCTAAACTGCTAAACCACCAATTCGGTCAACTAACAATACACTTCCCCGTCTAAATCTGTGTATCCCAATTAGTGGCACGCGTACCCCTGGGGGTACGTGAAGTTACATCAAGGGTTACGTGCGGCTATCAGTGAAAACAAGAACAATTTCCAAAATATTATTTTAAAACGAACATCATCCATTATAGGCGAAAAGGATGTTGCCACAAAGAAAGCGGCAGATTTGTTAAAAAAAAAACATCATCGTAAAAGCACGGAGCACCGTGCACTCACCATGCGCTATCCCGCGCTTGCCACATCTCGTCATTCGGTTGCCCGCGCCACTCGTCACCCGTTCCCGCTTTATTTTGACGCAGGCGTTTGAGCGTGAAGAAGTAACAAACATACACACACACTCACAAACTTTCGCTTTTATAATATTAGTGTGGTTGCTACAATTTTGCTGCGTACCACTTCAAAAAAGACCTCAAACCTTGCGTACCCCTTACGCAAGGTTTGAGGTCTTTTTTGAAGTGGTACGCAGCAAAAACTAATTGGGAACCACTGGTCTAAATCATGCATGCTTAAAAATTGTTTTACTTAAAGGGGACGTCTGTTTCAGCCACACAAGGAGAGTGATCCAACCAACCCTTGGACAGTAGAAGCCGTAATGAAAGCAAAGGTGGAACAAGAGCTGAAGAACATGGAACCAGAATTAAATTACACAATACTAAGACCGGCGATCGTGTACGGTATTGGCGATAGGAGGAGTCTAAGTAAGTTATCGTTATCACTACCCTTTGTCGTCCCACTGTTGGGCAGTGATGTGATGTTACGGATTGATTTCAGAATAGAATAGAAAATCATTTATTCATTCATTCATAATTTAAGAGCTACGCTCTTGTCGGTGGAGCTCTTGCCACTTTCCGCGATCTTCCATCATGCTCTTTAATTCTTGATACGACACGACTCCCATTTTGTACTTATTTGACAAGGATTTCGCATGATGACGACCGGTTCAGCCTTGCTTCTGCCCCTGCCGGACTCGGACCGCCACGGCATATTACATCGTGGAAGCCCGTTGTCAAGAACGTTACTATATTCTTTTTCCATTTCATTCGTGCTCCATCATTTATTCAAATAAACTTAATTTAAGCACTTTTGAATAGTCATAACAATTTGTTTTTTATCTACCACTCGTTCGGAAAGCTGTCTCATCACAAGAAGAACGAGCAAGAAACTTTTGTGTTGCTCTTTTAAATAATCCTTGTAAGTTTACATTTACAAGTCGAAACGTGTGAATATAAACTACCAACAAGCACTAATTTTTTGGGTCAAATATAAATATGCAATAAGATTAAATCAGTCGTAGTGATAAGAGCAGACCAGTCCCTACAAGCAGCACTCGTTCACGAGTATGACGGATGAGCCAGCCATCACTGCGCTCGACCATATTTTAGGGAGCCCAATGACCCGGCCCACCACGCCGCCACATGTCTGGACATTTTAGTGAGCATGACTACTCATTCCACACGACCACGTCACAGCTACAAAAATGACTATATGGTAGTTGCAGTATTTCATACTTTACATAAGGACTTTACATAAGGATGCATGCGGCAATCAATACAAAAGCCGCTACGCTATCATATATCAAGAAAGCAATACGAAAATTAAAATTATAACGTTGTCCGCAAATAAACTTATTCTTGCTATATAGGAATAAGTTTATTTGCGGATAATGCGTTTAATCAGATATAGGAATGACCATTATACGGATACGGATGCCGATATGAAATTATTTCGGATTATCCGTTAGTTTCGGATAATTTTACGATATTACTTTTTTAGGGGATTTCAAAACTAAAATATAATGGTTATATATCGTGTTTCTATTAGGCGCCGCCCCTATCCGATATTATCCGAAACTTTTATTTCGGATTCCGTTACGGTTATATTTTTTATATCGGATGTCAGATAGTTTCGGTTACGGTTACAGAGCTGCTTAACATCCCTGCTGTTGGGCACGAATATCCTTATGAGTGGTCTAGCTGTTCATTACACCGCCTTGCCATGGTCGCGAAGTAATGCACCACTGCGGTTCGATCCTCACTTAATCAATTTTTACCGACGGTTCCAATGTCCCGGCAGACATTGTTTTGCCATATAAATTTAAGTACTAATATCGCTATTAAAAAATAGGGATTAGTGATAAAAGGATTTTGTTCGAAAAATAAAATGTTGGGGGTGGATAACCCTTATCACTTAGGGGTATGAAAAATAGATATTAGCCGATTCTCAGACCTACTGAATATGCATATAAAATTTCATAATCGGTCAAGCCGTTTCGGAGGAGTATGGTAAGTGACATTGTGTCATGAGAATTTTATATATGAGATTTGCAGGCAGGGAGCAAGCCATAATCACTGTCAATGACTAATATTTGTTATATTAGCCTAACTGATACTAGCTTGTAAGCATTCCTCTCGTTTGTATGTCCAGCCCCGCGGCTACTATACGGCGCCATCTACAAGCACCTGGGGGAAACGATGAAGCTGCTGTGGACGGCAGACCTGCGGCTGAACACCGTGCACGTGCGGGACGTGTGCGCGGCCGCCTGGACCCTCGGGCGACGGGCTGATGCTGCGGGGCGCGTCTACAATGTCGTCGACACCGCCGACAGCACGCAGGGCAGCCTCGCGGATATTGTCGCTGACATATTCAAGATTAATCACGACTATTATGGAACAGCCATATCGACTCTCGCGAAGGTATAGTTTACAAGTAGATGTTAATAATGTAATATGTTAATAATAATCTTTTCTATATATAATAATAATAATAAACTTAGGCAAACCACAGCGCCATCTAGTCCCAAGCTAAGCAGAGTTTGTGTTATAGGTACTACATAATATGCATAGAAAACACCCAGACCGACACAAACAACCACACTCATGAATATAAATGTTACTGCTGTGCAAGGAATCGCACCCGCGACTGTCGGAAGTAAAGCGGTGAGCCAAATCGCTAGGTCATCGCGGCCGTCGATCTTTTCTATGGCGGTTTTCTACAATGTCGTCATTAACAAATAACACAAGCTCTACTTACCTCGAGGCACCGTTCAAGTATTACGTAGCAGATTTAGTACAATTATATTTAGATTTAGTATAATTACGACAGCCTCGGTGGTCTAGTGGTTTAGCACACCGCTTTACTATCCGATGGTCGTGGGTTCGATTCCTCGCACGGTACAAACATTTGTATTCATTAGTATGTCTGTTTGTATCGGTCTGGGTGTTTTCTATGTATAATATGTATTTATTTACAAAAAAAAATGTATCCATGTATTTATATCAGTTGTCTAGTACCCATAACACAAGCTCTGCTTAGCTTGGGACTAGATGGCGCTGTGTGAATTGTCCTGAAATATTTTTATTATTATTATTAATTATTTACCTCCGTATATTTATACAACATACATATGTAGTAGTAGGACCAGTAGAGGAAATAAATAAGCAAGAATATGCCAATATCTACAGACGGACATAGCGGGCGTGGCCGAGGACGCGAACGACAAGCACCTGACAGCGTGGGCGGACATCTGCCGGCGGTACGGGCTGCAGCACTCCCCGCTGGAGCCCAGCGCCGCGCCCGACTCGCTCTCCAACAGACACCTCAGTCTCGACGGCTCGCGCCTGCATGCCATACTACCGCCAACAGTTGCCGCGCCCACCAGAGACCTCCTCACGCAGGTACACACAATTCGTTAAAAAATAATAGGACCCCGCTCCCACCAGGGATCTCCTCACGTAGATACACAATACATTAGAAAAAAATAGGACCTCGCGGCCACCAGGGAACTCCTCCTGCAGGTACACATAACACGTTAAAAAAAAATAAGATCTCGCGACCGCCAGGACACCTTCACGTAGGTACACCATACAATAGAATAGAAAAGAATATGACCTATATATATGTATGTTTATATTTTATTATCTTATATATATAATTCTCGTGTCACAATTTTCGTTCCCATACTCCGAAACGGCTTGACCGATTCTCATGAAATTTTGTGAGCGTATTGAGTAGGTCTGAGAATCGGCCAACATCTGTTTTTCATCCCCCTAAATGTTAAGGGTAGTCCTCTCCTAATTTTTTTATTTTTATTTTAAGGCAAATCAACGTTTGCCGGGACAGCTAGTATATATTAATAGGTATATTTATGTACAAATATATATTTATGTTCATTACGTGCACCACCGACCCTTTTCTTATCGGCATTTCACTTTCTCTACCAAGAGGTAGTCTGGAAGAGCTTGCTTAATCTATCAATCTTCTGTCCCCAAGTATCGTTTAGAAAAAGTCAATAGGTCTTTTATGGGAATAGGTATAAAAATTTACAATAAGAAACCAAAGGATATATTGGAATTACCCTTAAATAAATTCAAAACATCTGTTAAATCATATTCACTGAGCAAGGCCTATTACTTACTAAACGATTCCTTGAATGACGAGTGTACATGGCAATAGTTTTCATGTTCGGGATTTTCATTTAATGTGACATAGACACCTATATAAATACTTATGTATTGTAAATAAACTGGCTTTTAAAAAAAAGTAATTCAATTGAGTTTCTTGTCAGTTCTTCTCAATTGGATCTATATACCGAACTGGACGGTAGGGAAAAAAATTATAATGTAAAAACTTGACGTTCATAAGCGGCTAAAATGTCCTACATGAATAAATGATTTTTTAATTTGAATATCATTTTATGTGTTTGTCTTTTGCCATTTTATTGTGTGTCTTTGTCTGGTGCAATAAAGAGTATAAATAAAATGACCCCGCACCCGCCAGGGAACTCCTCACACTACACAATAGCTACCTTTACACGACACGTGCTTTCACATATGATCAAGACCGCAAAAATGAGTAAAATTATGTAATACTAAACAAACCCGCCGCAATTTCGTCTGCAGCACCCTTAACATTTACCATTATATTTCGCCCAATTTACGTAATATTTTCTTAAAGCCTATGTATTATTCCGATGGATAACCTATATTACTGTAAAGTTTCATCAAAAACCGTTCAGTAGTTTTTGAAAGAGTAACAAACATCCATCCATCCACACTCACAAAAATCAATACACATACATACAGTAAAAATGTTATTGATTGCTGTCTGTAAAGATATAAAAGAAGCTGTGCCCGCGGTTTCACACGTATGAAATTTATAGCCATGTGTTATTCTGATGTATAAGCTGTTTTACTGTAAAGTTTCATCAAAATCCGTTCAGTAGTTTTTGCTTAAAAGAGTAACGAACATCCATCCATTCGTCTATACTCACAATCTTTCGTGTTTATAATATTAGTATCATAAAATAATTTGGGGACTTTATCAACATAATAAAACCCAAAACAAGAATTGTTGGGATTTTTGTCCGTTTATTCGTGCTAATCTCAGAAACGGCTTACCCGATTTAGGTGCGGTTTTCCCTAATGTAATGTAAACATCGCATAATATTTAATATTTGTTTAATCGCGAAACGAAATCGCGTGTTCAATATAATTATAAAAATAAATACTTAATAATTGAAAGTTTGCAATTTCAAATTAACAGCTTTTGTAATGCAATGTAATAATATCTAACGCATGCAAAAATTATATACAGTATATATATAAAAGAATAATTTATAATTTTTTATCTTTCTATATTTTTGTTCTTATTAATCTCTGAAACGACTGGACGGGTTTTAACGGGAGATTCACTCGCCGATAGCCTATGTTATAGTAACTTATCCTACTTTTATATTAGACATTTTGTATAATTTCTAAATTCTCTTCTATTTTATAATCTTAATAATCTGGATAAAAATTTCTTTCTATACGAACGAAGTCGCGGGTAATAAGTCTAGTCATTTATAAACATATAATTATCTACTTTCTTAGTCTTATTATTTACGCATAGTATGTCAATTTCTCGAATATCTCATTTGATTTTCTTGGCATATTGAACAAGGCCTTTAAAATATTTAGGCTTTGAAAAACTTCAATTCAAATTGTCCATCACGGTTTAAAATAAAATTTAAATATTTCACGGGCTTGGTAGTCTAGTGGTTTAGCACGCCGCTTTACTTCTAATAGTTGCGGATTCGACTCCTCGCACGGTGCAAACATTTGTATTCACGAATAAAATTGTTTGTATCGGTCTGGGTGTATTCTAGGTATGATATGTATATATTTACAAAATAAAAAATATCAGTCATCTAGTACCCATAACACAATCTTTGCTTACCATGGGACTAGATGGCGCTGTGTTAATTGTCCAGGGTTATTTATTTATTACATTGTTTCAGGTCCTTGAGGATTACGCATCTATGAACCTATTTCCGAGAGAGCTTCTGCTATGACCGACTCAATAAATATACTGAGACAATATGATGCAACGTAATTTGGACCGCTTCAGTACAGTATGAATTATAAGTCAATTTAAAAACATTCCATGTCTAATGTATTTCATACATTTTAAAGACATTTTGAGTGTATCTAGTTAGGGGCCGTCCATTCCATCCATTTTGTCCATCCCGTATTTTTTTTCGGACTATAATGCTGTTGGCCGCAGCTGGCTTTTACAGCTTCACCGCGCGATAGGGGGTGAGTGCAGATGGCAATTTAAACCCGCGGAAGGACTTATGAAGCGGCTGAAGGCCAACTCTCGCGAGACGGATGCGACTTTAGTCTGAGGACACCGCTAGGGGTTCAAACCTCGGCTCAGGCCGTTATAATTTCGATCTGCAGTTGAATTGGATGGGGGATCGATCGCAGGGGCTCATCCATTCCGTCCGGCTCAAAAAGAGGGAAGGGGTTCGATAAAAATCACGAAATATCACAAGCGGGTGAGGGAGTGTAGTAATATATCTCGTGTATTTATTTTTTAATTAATCGCGTTTTTTATAAACTGAACAACCAACCAAATAAAGTAAATAAAAGTAACATTAACTTTTATTTAAACTTTATTGACCAATGAATTATTATACAAAAGGCGGAATTAATGCCATAGGCATACACTGGAGAGGATTTTTTATGGATGATAATGAAATGGTACACCCACTTGCTCTAACGGTTTACGCTGCTGGGGCACTAGTGGATGATGATAAGATGAGTATATGAGGTCAGGTCAGATAGCCCATCCTGATAAAATCACTAGGAATCTATCGCGATGATTTCCAGAGAGCCGCGTGGAAGTCAGCCTGACTTCGTGCATTGCTAACAATCTGGTCATCAGTCCACATTATTACCTCCCTATTCCCCGGAGTAGAGATTAAAATTGCTAAATAGGCATCACTTTATGAATGGACGGCTCCTTATACATATAAGTTTCATTTTAACTGCTGCTTAAGTGCGGACAATAATGATATTCGAATTGTAACTTAGTTAAAATAAGGATGGAGTCATTATTTATTAAGTCTTAATACATAGGCGACCATTACACGATCAATTACTATTGCAGTTTCATAAACAGTGTTCTTATTCTTCTCTTAATGACCTTGTACATCTGTACGATTAATTTTTAAATCCAAGTTTGAGAGAACAGAGTGACCACCAGTATGCTATTGCAATTTTGTCAAAAGAAAATACTGTTATCCGTGGCCGTAACCCGAACAGACCAATCTCCACAAGTATTAAGTTAAAAGATATATTGGTAGATAATAGTGATTTTCAGAAAACACTTTTTTTTTTATTGGGGTGTTTGGACTATTGTCAGATGCTTAGACCTGCACTGCGACCTGTATAGATCTATAGTGCTCGTCCTTATTCAAAGTTCGCTACCCAGACCCGTTAGGGATAAGAACTGAAGCATATTCTTAGGCGCGATGGTTTTTATCTCCGCACGATATAGTACACTGTCCAAAGGAGATGATAACACTGTTTATGACTGAGTACAATATTTCACACCATCGTCTAATGGGTGCCATAAACAATATTTAGTCATTATGAACTACACGTGTCTGATTTAACCATTTTTTTTGTGCGTCTTAGAAACAAAATTAAATATTATTAAACGTTGAATATTCTCGTTCAATTTATAATTATTGATGTGATTGCAACGAAATTGTAGTGTTTATTTTACACGTATTGGTAATATTTGCTGTGATAATTACACCATGTGTGATGAATAAAGGGGATACAATAAATGTTCCGCAATTTTACGATCAAATATTTTTCTATGGACTTGTAAATTAGTGTTTGTGAGACCTTTTCGGCAAACAATAAAATTATATTTATAAGATGTAAGAAGACTGTGAATACCAAAAAGCAATACTAGATTTTTGCTTTTATTTTTTTACTAAATTTTCTAATTTTTCCAATACTTTTGTTTTTGGATTTTGATCGTATTTTTTAATTCCATCCAATCTTCTTTTATTTTATAACGGTTTTCTTATATGAAATTTTGAATTACTTTTATTAAAGTGTACTTAATTTGTCTAATTTTACAATTATATATCACGTGGCGAAATTCTAAGTGAAATACGCTTTTTATGCTTATTTGTATATTAAACATCTGCTTCCATTCGTCTAAGAATGCTTTGAAATTGCGAAACTAAGTTTCATACTAATAATTGTAATAATGCTTAGAATATAATATAATTATATAAACTGCATTAGTGTAAGTAATATGAATGATGAATCGTAGTTTTAAAAGGGCTGAACATCAATTAGGGAGCATAATAGGTGTTATATATAATGTTACTTATTTATTATATGAAAATCCTATATTTCTACAGAGTTTGTTATAAAGGATTTACAATGCCTAAAGTCACTGGCTCCATCATTCCATAGAACGGATTTTTGTTGCTACAATCTTGCTATAGATGGCGCTGGCTCACCACTCAATTCCAACTAACTTTTCTTACTACAAACATGATATAGATGACGTCATTGGTATCTATTGAATTATTGAATATTGTGCAAACGTGCAAAACACAAAACTATGTTATCAAATACATATTTATTATTGAAAAATAACCAATAACAAGAACCAATAATAATAAAAACAATAAAATGTTAAAATCAAATAATGGGCCTATTCAAAATATTTTCATAATTATATTTTATATTATACTAAGTTTGGTAGTTACGCAATGACCGTCTCAACATAGAACAGTATGTCGGTTTAAAAATGCTTAAAATTTCAATTTTTACTTATAGGGGAAATATGTTTAATTTTCTAGAATACTTTGTGTCTTTCACGAGTGAATAGACACAATTTGAGCTTGCGTGTAACAGCTTAGACAGCAACATCACTTAACATCAGGACAAGCATACCAACCCACCCAAATTTTCTATTAAAAAAACACTCGCTGGCTTTGAGTATTTTTTATTTATTGGGAGGTTTGTGCTATTGTCAGGTGCTTGGATATGTAGCAGTGCGACCTACATAGATATATTGTGCTCGCCCTTTTTCAGAGTTCGCTACCTAAACCTGTTAGGGACAAGAATCGAAGGATATTCTTAGGAGCGATGGTTTTATCTCCTCAGGATAGACTATATACTTTCCAAAGGAGATATTTCGTTTATGCATGAGTCAGTTACAACCACATAGGATGTGTAGTCGCGCTTCTTCTTCAGCTTGGCAAAATCTGCAGTTTTTGTTATGCAAAAGTTTGTGTCTCTTTGTTTGAATTTGCAGTGCCCAGTGTGAGCCCTAGTGGTGATGCAATGTTGTTTTTACGCAATAGCAAGAGCCAGATACTCCAATAGACTATTGGAGTACATGGCTATGGGTATACTTTAGTACACTTTATAAGTAACTCTGTACGATCTAGATAATAGTTTTTATGATATCGTGAAGTATATACAGTAAATAAAATTTGCCTATTATATTACCCTGAAGTAGTGTGAATTATGAAATTAGATTGCCTGATTCCTAATAACAATTGCTTAATTATAGACAGCCCTTATAAATGACATGATTTTTATGTTACCGATGGATATTGTAAGTCTGTATTGTAATGAATTTATGCTCAATATTATAAAGTGTAAAAAAAAATGTCATTCAAGTTTTGTTTATTGTAAGAACAGTATCCATTGAGAAATATGTTTATGCTTTGATAATGTATAGAATCAATATATACAGTGACTCCGCATACACAGCATGTGTATATTTTAATAAAACATTTATTTGAAATTGTTTTTTTTTTCTTTTTGTACTCAAATTTTCTATACAAATACTTAGTCTGTAATTTCAATTTTAACAGCGTAAATGCATATTAAAGTATATATTACAAAATAAAATATAGTATAAATTTACAAAATATTTTTTTAATGTATTGCTTCACGTATTTTAATATATAGATGAATGACGGTTCCCACTTACCACCAGATACTGCCGTTTTGTGTGTCATTAGTTATATAAAAAACCTCAAATTTACTGTGCTCTTCACCGTACAGAATTATAAGAGTATAATAAAAAAATCCCGTTAATTTACTATGCATCTTTTTACCTTACAGATTATGGTACTATTTTGACGGCCTCGGTGGTTTAACGGTTTAGCACACTGCTCTACTTTCGATGATTGCGGGTTCGATTCCTCGCACGGTACAAACATTTGTATTCATAAATATGTCTGTTTGTAACGATTTGGGTGATTTCTATGTATATTATGTATGTATTTACAAAAAAAATCTATGTATGTATTTTTATCAGTTGTCCAGTATCCATAACACAAGCTCCGCGTAACGTGGCACTAGATAGCGCTGTGTTCATTGTCCAGGGTTATTTATTTATTTATAACTAGCTGAGCCAGCGGTTTCATCCGCATGAAATATACAGCCTATATGTTATTCTGATATATAAGCTATATTACTGTAAAGTTTCATCAAAATCCATTCAGAAGTTTTTGCGTGAAAGAGTAACAAACATCCATCCGTACTCATGAACTTTCGCGTTTATATTAATAAGATAATGGTACAATAAAAAAGACAAAAATGTATATCAACTCATTTACTATAACAGTTTAAGATCCATATTAGTACACTTGTATATCTCCACAAAGCGTATAGCAAACTGTGAATAACAATTACAATGCACATACAAACATTTTATATATTAATTGAAATTTCAACCTTACTCCCCTTTCATACATTATTATTTGCGCTGATCAGGGATAAAATAATAAACAGTATGTGTATTTAATAAAAAATTACATTAAGTATCTCACCGGTTATTTATTATAGTATAACTACCGCTCAGTTTACAATTTGTTTTCATGCAAATAAATAATTAAGAATTGACACTGCCCTTATGATAACGAAACCTAGATTCTATCTATACATCAAAAGTCAATCTAAACAATGCTTGGACAGTTACATATAAAAAATCTAATAAATATGGGCATGTTACTGAAGATGAACTATTCCAAATCTTTACATAGTATAAAACAAAGTCGACGCCGCTGTCTGAACGCTCATATCTTTTAATTTACGTAACAGATTTTAATACAGTTTTCAGCAATAGATAGAGTGATTCGAGAGGAAGATTTATATATAATATAGGCGTGTTATAGGATATAATAGGCTGAGAAATTCAAAGACTTGATTGCATTCTTGCGAAACCTAATAGTCTGGTTTTGGCGACACAATTTACCTATAAAACTATGAATATGAAATATGTATCGCGCCATCTATCGGCAGTATGACTGATGGCGCTAAATTTCAAACAAAACAATACTTTATTATTGATTTTTTATGTAAATTCCATGAAGATTCGTTCAGTACACCATACCCTATTGCTCTTAGCCCGATACTAACAAAATAATTTTCTAGCTCTTTCAAAAAATCAAAAACAACCTATCCATTTAGTTCAATTATAATTACTAGGTGTTCATGAACATTTTGGCATACATCAGTATGAGGCACATGGAGGCATGCCGTCTCGTTCTACGCGGGCTCAGGCTCTTGCTAGTGTGAGCAGGACGGCACACGGTCATCCGTGTAGAAAGTCCGCGACACCCACGTGGCAGTAGTCCGTTAGTGGCATTATTACTACTTGTATCTGAAATTATAAAATATATATAGAAATATTACTAACATTATAAATGCGAAAGTTTGTGAATATGGATTTGCATTTGCGTGAATAAGTAACAGATATCCTGTTACTCATTCACGCAAAAACTACTGAACGGATTTTGATGGAACTGTACAGTAATATAGGTTATACATCAGAATAATATAAAGTGTATTCTAAAGAGGGAAACTCTATATTTTGAATAAATATTTAAAACTTAGTTGATTTCGGTTTTTACTACATACGAGTATTATATATGCAAAATTTCCTGACATTTGAAATGGAGAAGTAAACATACTGTTTATCACGGCCGATGATCGTGCAGACAAATTCGCGGGCAGAAACTTGTATGTAAAAAAATCCGTAACTCACCCGTAGCTGATCACGATTTGTGCCTAGCAAGTGCTTCGGTTCAGGCAGGTCGCATGTATCGGTGCACTTCGGACATCGCCTGTAACAACATTGTACCAATTACAAAATTGAAAAATGTAAATTTATAATGATTATTTAAAAAAGCAATAGACAAGTTTCTTGCTTGTTCTTCTTGTGATGAGAGCTTAGATTAGATTTAGAAAAAATTGTGACTATTCATAAGTGCTTAAATTAAGGTTAAAAAGGATTTTCTATTTTATTACAATTTCTTCAGCCCGTCGGAGAGAGCCGTTGCATATTTGTGGAATGTATCTATAAGTTGTTTTAAAAATTACCACACTTGGCTCAAGATTGGGGAGGGGAAGTCAGAAAATATTGTAGAATGAATGTGTTCCTCAATGGAGCATGTTTTTTTTCTAGTGGATGATAATGGAATGATGCACCCGCCTGGGCCAATGGTTTACACTGGCAGGGCACCAGTGGAGAATGATAAGATGAGCATGAGGTCAAGTCAGTTAGCCCATCGTGGTAAATTCACCCTTAATTTATCACGATGGTTTTCAGTGGGAACCGTATGGAGGTCAACCTGATATTGCTAGCAATGGGGTTATTATCCACATACATATTAACAATCCCCTTCTCTCTAAATCTCTCTCGGGAAATCTCTGACGGTTTAAATTTACTTTGTTTTGTATTGGTATTATATAGACAAAAGATAACAGATACACGGTTATCTTTTGACTTACTGTATTTTGTATTGGTTTATATTAATTCTTTAATTTTTTACTTTGCACCACTTATTACTGAGTGCATTTTATTCAGTATCGGCCAATTTCATTCTACCAAAACTTTTGTAATGCTCAGCGGTAGGTAGTACTTAACTTTTAAAAAAAGCAGTCAGTGTTGAGTATGTAAATCATAAAATACGTACCCTGGTCCCTTGTGGGGTCTGGGCGACCGTTCCCGCTCTGGCCGCGGGTCGTGTGCGGGGCCGGCGGGGGCGGGCGGGGCGGCGGCGGGGGCGGGGGCGGGGGCGGCGGGGGCGGCGGGGGGCGCCGGCGAGTACAGCGGCGTGTTCAGCTCGTCGAAGTCCAGAGCCCCGTCGATATTCAGCACTCTGTGTGATAAGATAAGATTATTACTATTACACTTCATAATGTGTCCACCTCTAAAATGGAGATAAGGTTGGCAAGACTGAACGAGTGTTGTCTTTTTTCTGCATTGTGGTCATGTCTCTCTGTACAAACTCTATGAACAATAAACAATTTAAAAACGTGTAATTCTATTTATATCAAGTACATCATGTATTCATTCATCACACTGCACAATGCTGGAAGATTTTCTTTATTTATTTATATAGATTAAAATTTACATTTATATATAGATTTACATGTTGACTACAATACAGTTTTTTTACTTCTATTATCTGCAGTCCCCAAACTAGGTCAGATCTGTATCTTGGGAACCCGGATACCAAAAATATGCAGTATGTATACACTAAATAATGCGATTTTTTTTATGGATGACAATGGAATATTTCCCTCCTGTGGTAACGGTTAACGCTGGCGAATCACCAGTGAAGGATAAAATGAACATGAAGTCAGGTAAGTTACCCCACTTGATAAATAGCAATTTCTTACGATGGTTTCCAGGGCAAATCGGGTGAAGATCAAGCTGATAATGGTACATTGCTAGCAATGGAATTATTAAAAATAGGGCAGGACAATTCACACAGCGCCATCTAAACCCAAGTTAAGCTAGCTAAAGCTTGTGTTATGTGTACAAGATAACTGATACAAATACATAGATATATTTTTTCGTAAATACATACATATTATATATAGAAAACACCCAGACCTGTACAAACAATCATGCTCATGAACACAAACGTTGGTGCCGTGCGGATCGAACCCGCGACCATCGGAAGTAAGGCAGTGTGCTACACCGATAGACCACCATGGCCGTCATTTAGTGAATATGAAAAATAATTACCTGTTCTGTGATGAGAATCGATGCACCCTCTCCACAACTGAAGACACGTGCTCCACACCCTTCTGCACACCCCAAACTAAAATACCAATCTGAAATATGAAAGATATTGCATACCTTAAATTCATTAAAAATATGTAGCTATGCTTCTTCAATAACGTAGATGTGGGATCTAGTTCCTTGCTTTTTATATATTATAGAATACAATCATTACATAGCATAAAACAAAGTCACTGTCGCTGTCTGTCCGTCCCTATGTATGCTTAAATCTTTAAAACTACGCCACGGATTTTGAAGCAGTTTTTTTAAATAGATAGAGTGATTCAAGAGGAAGGTTTATATATATAACACATGTAGACCCGGGCGAAGCCGGGGCGAGTAGCTAGTAGAATAAAAAACAATTAATTCGAATAAAGTTAAATTTATCCCTTTCATTGTACACTAGCTGTGCCCGCGGTTTTATCCCCTTGAAATTTATAGCCTACATGTTATTCTCATATATAAGCTATATTACTATAAAGTTTCGTCAAAATATATTCAGTAGTTTTTGCGTGAAAGAGTAACAAACATCCGTCAATCGACACTCACAAACTTCGGCGTTCCTAATACTAGCTGAATCGCGCAACTTTGTCTACAACACACTTTACTTTACTTAACATTTATCATTATAATTCGCTCAAATATATTTATAACTAGCTGTTCCCGCGACTTCGTCCGCGTGGAATTTAACTTTATTTTTCTAAAATAAAAGTAGCCTAAGTTACTCCTTATTACATCTATACATAATATCTCTTTAAATTAGAACTTATGTGTTAGTCTGATGTATAAGCAATATTATTGTAAAATTTCATTAAAATCCATTCATAACTTTTTGCGTGAAAGATTAAAAACATCTATCCATCCACACTCATAATCTTCAGCGTTTATAATAATAGTAAGAAGTAACGTAAGGAAATTTTGGTCAGATTTCAATTACATAAAAAAAAATAGTACCTTGACTCTCACGTCGGCATCAAGTTGGTCGGTGTCGCCGTACTCGTCCAGCAATGACTCGGGGCAGTTCTGACAGGTGATTGAGATGCGGACAGTCCGTAACACCACCTCCGGTACCTGAGAAAATAGATTAAATGAAAATATGTTATTCATGTACGTGTGTCATATACATTGAATTCTAATCAAATCCAATTATCGTTATTCAAACCAAAATATCGTTATTCATGTACTATTATAGACACTTATTGAATTCTATTCAAATCCAGATATCTTTATTCCTGTACGTTTATTACACATACTTATTGAATTCTATTCAAATCCAAGTATCTTTATTTATGTACATTTATTACACACACTTGTTTAAATCTATTCAAATCCAAATATCGTTATTCATCTACGTTTATTACACATACTTATTGAATTCTATTCAAATCCAAATATCTTTATTCATGTACGTTTATTACACACACTTGTTTAAATCTATTCAAATCCAAATATCTTTATTCATATACGTTTATTACACACACTTGTTTAAATCTATTCAAATCCAAATATCGTTATTCATGTACGTTTATTACACACACACTTATTGAAATCTATTCAAATGAAAATATCGTTATTCATGTACGTTTATTACACACGCTTATTGAATTCTATTCAAATCCAAATATCTTTATTTATGTACATTTATTACACACTCTTGTTTAAATCTATTCAAATCCAAATATCGTTATTCATGTACGTTTATTACACACGCTTATTGAATTCTATTCAAATCAAAATATCGTTATTCATGTACTATTATCGACACTTATTGAAATCTATTCAAATCCAAATATCTTTATTTATGTACATTTATTACACACACTTGTTTAAATCTATTCAAATCCAAATATCTTTATTCATGTACGTTTATTACACACACTTGAATTCGAATCCTATTGAATACAATATAATTTTAATACAAATCAAAATATATCTATTCGTGTATGTCTGTTACACACTTATTACTTAATTTAGTTAGGTATCATTATCATTATTAATTTAGTTAGGTCTGTGCCAATCTGATTTCGCATACACATCGTATGTATATACAGACAAAGAGAATGAGAAAGAACGCGCGCGTCGCCAGTTCGCGCTTTCCCGCGTCCTTCAATCGTGAGTGCATAAACGCCATTTTGTAATTATTAATTATCTTTACAAAATGGTGAACATCCGACTATGAAGTAAATGCATAATTATAGAGTTATTGATAATTTACAAATCTTAAAAGTGTCTTTGGAAAATAAAATATGTTTAATGAAAAGTATAATTTTAACAGAAAGTATAATGATATTAATTATATGCGCTAACTCGCGAAAAAGTGAACACAAAAAATAGTCAAATGCAATCACTCACGATTGCGCGCGCTAGCTTTACGCGCCAAATCACGCACTTTTTTAATTTAGCACGTAAAAATACGTGTCATGTAAACGCAGCTGTTTACTTACATCATACGTGCCCGCCCAGACGATCAGCAAGCTCTTCCTGAACCATACACCCTTAGGATACAGATCGACAGTCCACTCGACAAGTTTATCCTGCGGCGCCACGTCAGCTATGGCCGGCCTGGTGGAGAATATGAAGGTCCTGGTGTGGTAGCATGGTAGCGAGTGGAAGTTGTCTACCGCCAGCACCGAACCCCAAGTGTCCTCTGTGTACAGCCGCGGCGTGAATAACATCCGACCTGCTTCAGTTTGTTGTACCTCCGACACACGCTCGTATTGGCCTGTAATAAATAATACAAAATTAGACGGCGAGGGAAATGGGGTTGTTAGTTATGTGAACTAACTGCTCCATCACTAGTAATGTACATGTCAGTTTGCCAGATTACCATGATAAATTCCAGGTGAAATTGGACCTAACTTCATGTTCATCCTAACATCTTCCACTGGTATCCCACCATCGTAAACCATTAGCGTAGCCGGGAGCACCATTGAAAGAAAGAAAGAAAAGAAAGAATATTGTTTATTTGGTACACTAAAAATAATTTTTAAATTTTAATTTACATTTTATCGGTTTATATTAATTTTGCATAGTCATTCATTAAAAAAATTATATGACTGCCTTAGTGGTCTCTGAGTTTATACACCGCCTTACTTTCGATAGTCGCGGGTTTGATTCCTCGCACGATGCAAACTTGTTGTTGTCCATAAGTTGATTATTTGTATCGATCTCGGTATTCTGTATACATTTTATTTTTACAGAAAAAAAAAGTATTTATATCAGTTGTCTGGAACCCATAACACAAGCTCTGCTTAGCTCGGGACTAGATGGCGCTGTGTGAAGTGTACAGGGTCCTTATTATTATTATATTAACAAAAATTGTATTTCAGTATTTATATCAGTTGTCTAGTAGCCACATGAGACTTGTTCGCGTTGTGTCAATTGTGTGTTATTACTGTTGTTTAAAATAATACTATGTATTAAAAAAAACGGCTTAACTATTAATTAAATTACAATTATCTACCTGACTGATAACTCATGGCTATAGCCATACGGTCCATGAAGAAATCCTTATGTTCCTGCGTAAGGGGACACAGTAACAACTTGGCGAGTTGTTTTGGACACATCATCGGAAACCTGCAACAAGGGTGAACACAAATTATGGTTATTTGGGGATAAATTTAATAATATCATTAAATTTTTTATTTCATATTAATGGGGATAAATTTAATTATATTATTATATATGGGTATAACTTAATTATATAATTATTACAATTTTTTATTTCATATTAATTGGTGTTCATTCTCAATCGTAGCTAATTTTTGGTTTGTGAGTTCGCAACACTGGCAATGTTGCCAACTTTTAAAGAAGAAAAATAGTAGTAAAGTAGTAATAGTTTATTGTCGTTATATCTAACAATTCGGCGCATTTTCGTTCTCGTTATTTTAATATTTGTTGATTGTTTTATAAATTCGTTTTTTGTGTATTATTGTCAGAAAGGTGATTCTGCAATGCAGTTGTGCGTAGCAAAAATTTTGCTGTGAGCCCTTTTGGGAAATATATAAACATTTATTATTACTATTGTGATTTTTAATAAAATAGTCGTACATACATAATACTTATAGTGGGGTAGTGGTGTACCTGCGATACCGATTTGTTTAATCGGAATCGAAATGGAGTTTAAAAGAGGAGTTTTAAAGCAATTTAAAAAATGCAAAAACTGACAGGTTTTGCATTTTTAAAATTTTTAAATAGACGAGGATGTCGTCAAATTTGTCTGCAGGATTAAATAATAGACTATAAATAGTCCATACTGACCTTACATGCGAGAAGACAGCCGGCACCAGCGACTCCCAGTGAAGTTTCTTCTCAGCGGAAGTCAGCTCGCTGCTGTTCAGTCGCTCGCGCTGCTTATTCAGCCATCGCACCACGAATCTAACAGTAGAATTACATATTACTAGCTCTGCCCGCAGGTTCACTCGCGTTAAATATTAATAAAAAAAATATAGGCTATATATATGTTATTCTGATGCATAAGCTATATTACTGTAAAGTTTCATTAATATCCGTTTAGTAATTTTTGCGTAAAAGAGTAAGAAACATCCATCCATACTCACAAACTTTCGCATTTCCAATATGAGTAAGATAAGATTAATTATGTCCTATGTTTATCGCAAAATAAATTTGATTTGATTGAGAGATCCACTCACTGGTAGAGGCTCATCTCGTTGTGCAGCACCAGGTCGCTCTGCTGCAGAAGATGGACCAGCGTCTCCCCTTCCAGCTCGCCCAGCTCGCTGTCCGACCACACCCACTCCAAGTTCCACTTCACGAAGTTCTGGCATGCCTGTAGAGTTTGTTTTGTTAGGTTTTTTATTTTTTATATTATAAGTTTTCGCGTTCATGTGTTCATGTCTTCATTTCGTTTCAATCTTTTTAGTTATACTCGTTGGGACCGGGCACTTTAATTGAAGTAAATCTAGGGGTTAATAATGTCTAATGTTAATAAAATCATATTTAAAAGATAATATACATACAACAATAAAAAAATGCCGGTCGCTATGTGAGAATTAAGATTTATCAATGCGATCATCAACGTTAAGTTAGTTAAGTAACCCGCCCTAAGAGGCCTCTAAGCCTAAGTTACTAGAGGGTTGTTGACCCCGGAGTTGAAGCTGGGGCAAGGGTTCGCCCCGATGCCCCAACAACAAGAAGCCCTTCTTGTTGTTGGGGCCTCGGGGTAGTAGGCCCAATTGATAGTAAGAAGGGCTAGTGCCCAATTGTTAATGCTAGCAAAGTCCATCAGGTCGACCTCCACGCGCTCATAATCGAAGACATATGACAATAGCAAGCTACGCAAGAAAAACATTGGAAAATGAACTTTAAAATATTGACCATACGAACCTTGGCTACTTCGTTATGCCCGCAGGCCATCGTGTACTGCATCCACGCGATAAGTTGCCCACGTTTGGCGGCTTGTGCTATATACTGTGACATATAACTGAGGCACAGGGAGACTAGATCCTAATAAAAAAAAACTCATTTTAATTCATCGTTATTTGAATCCCATGTGATGTATGCGAGTGATAAAATAGACTATTTGTAATAATTAATTATTATTGCAAAATGGCGGATCTGACTATGGATTTATAAGTCTTAGACATGTCTTTGGAAAATGAAATTTGTGGAATACAAAATAAAATTTTAATTGAAAGTGAAATGACGCGTGAAAGTGTGAACATAAAAAAATGTTAATGCAATCTGTAAAATATGTACAAATCCTAGGATCAGTGAAGTCGATTTGAGAAGCCTGTGCAGACTTCAGGAAGCCTCCGTGTATTGCAGTAGAGCTACGGTTACATTTACATATAATGTCGGCTCTACACGCAGAATGGGCCAATTTCTAGGCTAATTACGGGAATAGAGCTCAAATTACACTTTACTAACCTTAACATTATATTTATCAGCCAATGAAAGTACAGGAAGCACAGTCTGATGAGATATACGTATTTGGCCAGTATAAAAATATCTGTGAACACAATAATGTTATGCATTACATATAAAGTTAATATTGAACTGAAGAATAAAAAAATATATTTAAAAACTAGCCCCAACTACAGAGGAATGTATAAAACATTACAAACATAAAATGAACTTTCCTTTCCTACTTATACTAAAATTTCATAAAAATCGGTCAAGTCGTTTCTGAATTTTGTTGCTAACACCCAGTCTTTATGTCACAGACTCAAATATTTTATACATTAGACAAAGAAACTGCAGTTGTGACTTTTTAACACCTTCAGCATAATATAAAGCATAAATTAATTCTTTTTAAAAAGTTCCATAAAAAAATATATTTTATTTCTTAATTATTTTTTTTTTATTGTATATTATCGATCGTTTTTTATTAAATTTTCTTGTTTTCCAAGAAGCCATTAATCGATAGTAGCACTGATATATTCTGATTTTGATCGTAGCTGCACCAAAAGGGCAACTAAACACAGTACAAGACAGCTCATAGTTGCCATTCTAGAAGAGAACGGAATCTACGTTGGGAGAGGCAAGTAGTTGGCAGTTAATTGTTTAAATATAAATATTGTTTTCTACGTCATCATACTTCAAGAAGTGTGGGAAGACAGAAGCCGCGGTGGGTGTCTCCTGTAGGACGATGCGACTCTCCCGCCATTCGCTCCATTCGCGGTTCATCAACATCACCTAAACAATAGAGTTAATCATTAAGTAATGTTTATGAGGATAATATCTTTGTCTTGGGGAGGAAAGGGATCGTTAGTAATGAGACTAGGACCCTATTGTTATGTATCACGTCAGGTCGACATCCACGCGGTTTCCCTTTTTTTTTCGGACTACTCTAATGCTGTTGGCCACAACTGGCCTTTACAGCTTCACCGGACGTTAGGGGGCTAATGCAGATGGCACTCCAAACCCGCGGAATGACTTAAGGAGCGGCTGAAGGCCAACTCCTGCCTGACGGATACAACTTTAGTCTGAGGGCACCACTAGGGGTTCGAACCTCGGCTCAGGCCGTCGTAATTTCAATCCCCGTTTTAATTGGACGGGGGATCGATCGAAGGGGTGCGGTGTGGAGCGCCCGGGCGCGCGCGCTATGTCCCCTGGAAAACCAAGTAGTTTCATTATGATGTCCTAACAGACCTGACCACATTCTCATCGTATCATCATCAACTGGTGTCCCAACAGCATATCCCGTTTGTATAGGCATGTGCATGACATTCATTTAAAAAAAAACTTTAAAATGGCAGACGAGAGATTGTATATTAGTAATGTGGCTTATAATAATAATAATAATCTCAGGACAATTCACACAACGCCATCTATACCCAAGTTAAGCTAGCTAAAGCTTGTGTTATGGGTACTAGATAACTGATACATATACATATATTTTTTTATTAAATACATACACATTATACATAGAAAACACCCAGACTGATACAAATAATCAAACTTAATCGGCAATTAAAAGATAAACCTGGTTTAGCACTAGTAATAAACCATTCACCAATGTATTCCTTATTACAAAATGAAGTTTATCTCTAAATCGTGATTCGTCTATGGTCTAAAGTTAGACCTGCGATGCCCCTAGTTTAACAGTGGTCTAAATGCAAAAAGTCAAACTTCATTTTAAAAATTCTATTGTAAGTTGTAGTTTTTGGAAAAATATTTTAACTAAATTAAAAATATGTTAACTAAAAATATTTAAAGCAAATTTTACGATATTAAAAATATATAAAAGACGTTATTTGTTATTTTTTCACTCATTTGACTTTAAAATAGTCACCATTCGAACTATCCAATAAAAATATCTCGCCGTTCCTTTTCTCCGTATAGGACTCCTGCTTGTAATTTAAAACTGATTTTCAGCCTAATAGTACATTAATAAATATTATATATTAATGAAATAGTTATAATGAAGACATAGATATATAGAAATAAATTTATTTTTAGTTTATACATTTTTCTTTGAACTAATATTATTTTTGATCTTTTCAGTTTTCTGGTAAAATGGAACGTAATTGTACGGTGACAGACATGAGTGACTGATTTCTGTATGGAATACATAATGAACGATTTAACTGTAGTACTAAGTAGTCCTCTGTTAGATCTGGATTCGTAATAATGTTAGGTTTATTCCAAGTATTAACTTTAGGAATGGTTTAAACCACGACCATCTAGACCACGTTTCGTCCGAGTTTTAACAGATTTTTTGTAATAAGACCGAATGAGTTTGATTATTTGTATCAGTCTATACAAATGTTTGTGCCGTGCATGGAATCGAACCCGCGACCATCAGTCGTAAAGCTGTGTGCTAGACCGCTAGACCACCGAGGTCGTTGTCAGCTTATGACCCCATAACTAACAATTCATGTCAGTTTGACTTCACACAGCTTCCATTCTGTTATCATCCATTAAAAAAATATATCTTTAGATATGTATAATAAATTCGTAAAAGCTCCCTGATTGTCTGTCTGTATTTTTTTAATGGAATGGTGCACCCTCTGCCCTAAAAATTTATGCTGTGTGTTTGTATGTGAAGGTTTCAGGTAAGATTGGTTGAGGGATTACAATAAAATTTACATATAATTAATGTTTTTAAAGGTAGATCAACCTATGGGCTTAGAAAATAATGACTATAATAAATAAAAAGTAAACTATTATTTATTCTTATTAAATTTAAATATGTCACTTTAGTCCTGAATATAAGTTACATATTTAGCTACTAGACAGCAAATAATAAACATGCTAGATGTTATAAAAAATTCTGACCTGGAACACCTCACTACTGGCACAGAGGATAAGCCGATGAGCAGGATACTCCACACCGGCCACTTGCAGCGTCAGATCACTCATGAGCTGCTCTGCATAGAGAGTTGCTATTTTAAGCAGAACGCTTTTTGAATTATCCACCTGGAAAATAAAATTTGATTTATTTATTTATTAATTCTTTATTGCAGGAGAAGTAAATTACAAGGAAATAAGTTTGAGTAGGTACAAAAAGGTACAAAAAGCAGTCTTATCACATAAGTCACTTTCAGACAAACCTTGGGTTTTTTTTTATGGATGATAATGGAATGGTGCACCCACCTGCGCTAACGGTTTACGATGGTGGGGCACCAGTGGAGGATGATAAGATGAACATGAGGTCGGGTCAATTAGCCAATCATAACAAATTCACCAGAAAGTTATCATGATGGTTTCCAGGGAGAACCGCGTGGAGGTCAACCTGATATGGTACATTGCTAGTAATGGGGTCATGAGTCCACATTACTAACAATCGATTGACAGAAAGTGGTAGGTGGCACATAAATTGAATAGAGATATAACAAATGGCATAATATTATTAACATAGTATAAAATGAAGTTAGTTCCAGTGTCTGTTCCCTCAGATCTTTTAAACTATGTATTTTAATGCTGTTTTTAGCAATAGACAATCAAGTGGAAGATTTATATGTGTAATAGATATCAACCTTGCGTAGCCACAGCAGATAGCTAGTAATATATAAATAATAATAAATAAAATGGCTAGACAATGGATGTATGGCAGAACAAGACAACCTATCCAGTACGGAAGCCAGACAGAACTTTATTATGTAATTATGTGTGTTTATGAATATGCAGTTGTTTTACAAGTGTATAAAAATGTATGAAAGTGAGAATATGAATGTGGGATGATGAGTTGTAGAATTAGATTCTATATGGTGTACATATTATGATGAATGAAGGCCAGAAAACAAAAGCAAAGAGGGGGAATATAGAAAAATAGGGAGTTGTATCTGAGCATCAGTAAATAAGTTGTTATTACTATTAATATTTTTTTTAATATTCTTCCGCAAATCATCAGATATTTTCATTGTACTTTTCTAATATATTAAATAAATCACATATGAAAATAGACAAACGTAGAATGAGTTTTAAGAAAGACATTTGTCCAGAAAAAGGATCGCAGCCTCTAAGCAGTGCTGTGAGATATAACGTAAATAACAAAACATTGGTATTACCTCTAAGTCATCTTTGCTATCTGAAGTGTCCTCTGCTTTTTCCGTACTCGTAGATGGTTGTCTATCTACAGTTAAAAAACTCATTATGACAGACAGATTTCAATTTACAATTCATTGAAAAACTATTTTCTATAGAAAAACATTTCTAAAACATTTCATCGTATTTTCGTATTGACATATTTTGAGTATTTTCACCACAGATCAGAATTCAGAAAGACTGAGATGATTTTGACAACGGAATAAAAAATTGTATCACACTGACAGTACACTATTGACGGCAAATTAGACAAATGTCATATGAGTTATTGAGTACTTTTTCGAAACTTAGAACAAGTTTATGGTTCTTATCATCTGTAATAAATATATAATCGATTTGCTGAACGATTTAGTTCTGCGTATCGGTAAAAAAATCGCTCTTTTTAATTTTTCGACATCAAACCACCATCCCTATGTCATACGTCTTTCTGATCTGTGGTCATACCGCAGATGTTAGTCTTCTGTGGTTCATACATTTTCAGTTTTGATTTTGATATCTTCCTTGGTTTTGATTTTTCTTGACATTTCTGTTCTATTTTCATTTTCTCATTTATATAAATTTGTTTAAACAGTTCCGTAAAGAAACAGAAGACATACAAACATTTAATAATGAAAAATAACTCAGTGTAACAATGGGTATAAAAAAGAAAAAAAACATCATAATTCTTACAGCTTGTATGGTTTTATGTTTCATTTTGTATCAGTTGTATTTCTTTCTGACAATAACCTCCGAAACTATGAGTGGAAACAAATTAATACCAATAATAAATCACGTAAACCTAGGTGGATCACATTTACGTTCAGAAGCCGATAGATTTATAAATGATAATGGAATAATACGCGGAGTGTATTACTTGTCAATGCCGAGATACCGGCCGGAAATGAATGAATTCAAATGTTTGAATTCCGAACAGCGCATTCCTTATGAAAATGTAAATGATGATTACTGCGATTGCTTGGATGCTACGGATGAACCCAGCACTAATGCGTGTTTAAATGGAACTTTTTATTGTGACACACAGTACCAGAGCAAGCCTGTGACGCTCCACAAAATACCATCGAATAAAGTGAATGATGGTATCTGTGATTGCTGTGATGGTTCAGATGAATGGGATCATTCTGATGACCAAAAATTGCTATCTCAAAGTAATTCTAGACATTATAGATACTATATATCAAAGTGTTCAAATAACTGCTAAGATAGTTAATATGTTGTAGCAAGAAAGATTGGCCACATTGAAATCTTGTGCCTCCTGGAAAGCGCTCTGCACATACCATCTTGAAAATGTATATAGATGTGTATGTCATCTGACAGTTAACTATAAAAAAATGTGATATTATGTGGCTACTCTTAATTCAATTATTGTGTTCTGAAATATTTATAAACTTAGATAGTTTAATAATATGTGCAACTACTACTTTAAGAATCTTGTAAATTTTTATAAGTAGGTACAGGATTTTAATGAACTTTTATTCTTATAGTTATTACTTCTTCATCACTACTCATAGCATACTTATGCTGTGGTGTTTAATTCCTGTACCTAATTATAAAAATACTTTAAGAATCATGTCAAGAATTTGTTAGTATCTTTTTATCTATGTCAAAAACAATAACCGAAATATCTAGAATTTTACTGATGATACCAGGTTTTTTGTTCAATCTATGGGAAATACACATCATTATGAGTAATAATTACGTACATATATATAAATTTGATTATGGCACTTTAATACCAAAGCAATCTTTTAATAATTTGAATCCCCATGTACTTGAACACAACAGAAATATGGTACAACAACAATGTATAAAGTACAGATTTTTAGTTCAATTGGAATGAAAACATGGTAAAATATACATTTATTTATGTGTTGTGGTGTAAATATATATTAAATTTATTAGAAAAAGAAGAAATTAACCCTGCTGCTGCTAACACCTTATATATTTTAAAGACTGAAATAAATAATGTTGTTAAGATTTATGGTCTTTTACATTGTATTAAAACATCTGTTACATTATTAGTATAATATATATATATATATATATATATATATATATATATATATATATATATATATATATATATATATATATATATATATATATATATATATATATAGGTAAATATACGTACAGAAAATTGTAAACAGTTTCAGCTAGGAAAACTGCCTTTATCAACATAATTGTATACCATTTCTTAAGAACATTTTAAAAGCCAATACTAATAGAAACAACATTTGCACTTATAAACAAATAAGTAAGTATAATCAAGGCTAGGTACATACATGGCTTGTTTCCCATTTCTTATCAGAACTTTAACTCGGTGCCTTCTAATCTCAGACTACCTAGAGTTATACATATCTACTTTTGTAAATATGGTTATAAATGTATATAACATATCCTTCACAGAAAAATACCTACATTTTTACAAAAAGACCATCGTATGTATAAAAGGGAAACCTAGTCCAGTTTCGTCAGCTCGATTTTTTTAAAATTTATTAGGGATAGATCCTAATAATAACAAAATAAGGAGTAAATCGTGCTAGTGAGTTATCCAGCCTACAGGGACTAAGCAAGTAATCACTACAACCACATGATTAATATTTCTTATCTGCGATATTTGTCAAAATGGAAACTAGAAACTCAAAACTTTTGATTCGATATCAAGGACTTTTATAATCGAATCACCATACTTACTCAGTATATACTAATAAAAAATAAATAATTAATTAAGAATGATATAGTATAGAAAATTCATTATACAAATAAACAAAGTTATTCACTTATGAATACTTATTTTATTATTCTACCACTTATTCGGAAAGCTGTCTCATCACCAAAAGAACAAGGTAGAAATTTATTGAGTCATTAATTAGGAAAAAAATAGACGTAGTGAATTGAGCAGACCAGTCCCTGCAAATACCACTCATGATAGCAAAAGATTTCGATAAAAATGACCAACAGTTTGTATTTAAACTGTAAACGCACATACTGCTATTTTTGACGGTTCGTGTGAAGCGTGCTTTACATTTTGACATCTAGAAACTTCCATCCATTGTCCACATTTCTACTTATTTAGTCTGTGGCTGACTGCCTGTGGTTTTGCTTGTAATTTTTTGACCGGCCTCCGAATTTTACGAAAGCTAATTTCCTTTACAATATATTCTGAATTCAAGTAATTTTAAAATTAAATATAATCAGCCATCATGACAGTGGACCACGGCGTAGATATCTCTAAAGCGGGCGATCGCGGCGTTCTAAAACGAATTACAAAGGAGGGCGAAGGTGCCGACACTCCCAACCCTGGGTGCCAAGTTACCGTCCACTACACAGGGACGTTGCTGAACGGAACCAAGTTCGACTCCAGCAAGGATAGAAACGAGCCGTTCGAATTTCAACTTGGCAAAGGTTGGTAATGCCTCAGTACCAAATATTTGTAGTTTGAACTTTGCACAATAGACCAAATCGAACATAAATGTCTTTATATTGTTTAAACAATTTTGTTATACAATTTATTTAATTATTCACTATAATTATAGCACACTGATGATTAGCTTTACATGATTTTTCCTTATGACTCCATTAGCCCATCATGTTGATTTCACCAGGAATTTACCAAAATGTTTTGAAGAGGGTACCACATGGAGGTGGACCTGATAGGGTGCTATAAATGATAATCCTCTCCCTCCTGGCTTGCATATTATAATCATCTCTTCCTATTAGAATAATAAAATATGGGGTTTTATATACTAGCTTTAAGGTAAAAGCACTAATGCCCGACACTGAACTAAAAGATGACACTTTCGAAAAAAATCGTTTCTATTAAGAAAACTAATCATTTAAGTAACACCACTACTGATATTAAAGATACCTAGGGTCATTTATGATACGTGGTCAAAAGCTTGCATACATTGTCAAGCAAATTTCAAAACGGCGTTAGTTGACAACAGACAATATGAGCAGGTTGATAATAAGTGCGTAATTCTTAGCGTTTTTCTTAAGGCGACTGACTTTTAATAGGTATGATTTTGTCTTATATATATATGATTATTGGCTATTGTTGGTTTCGATATTATAAATGTATGAAATTATTGATCTATTAGAACTATTTCCTTGTTATTTTGGCTTGTTTTTTTATGAATTTTAAGTGGTGTTTACTATTAGTACCACAAATCAAACAAAACCTAAAAGATGACATCTGTGTCTTCTACTAGGGTTACATCGAACCGATTTTGTTAGCTTATTTTAATGCAAATTTAGCCTTTACGTTTTAAAACTAATGTTTATATCCGAGTTTCGTTTATTTTACACTAGTCTAACTATAAGTAGACAGTGTCAACTATTAGGGTATACTAGGTGTCAACTATTAGGGTATACTAGGTGTCAACTATTAGGTAGCCATTAATTTCAAATTAAAGTTCGAGTACAATGCCTCCAGTAAAGGGTCTGATGTTTCGATACTCCGAAGACAATATGGAAGCAGCTATATAAGAATGCAGGCGGGACGTTCCGACAGCGGAGAAGAAATTCGGAGTCCCCGAGTAACTTTGATAAACAAAGTCAAGGGAAAGACCTATTAGACGTAAAATGGGAAGGTGTTACGTGACCGAAGCGATGAAAAAATACTCGTAACATGGGCATAAGCTATGGTCAAACAAGGGTTCCCAATACGAAATGATAACTTACAAGATAGTGCTAAGAAAATAGTTCAAGACCTTAAGATAGTAAGATAGAATCCAAGAACGGTAGACCAGGGAAGAGATAGATAGACAACAGCTGTTTAAAGCGTCACCCTGACCTTATAACAAGGTAAATTTGACAGCCTCCAGAGCATCTGTAATGATATCTCAAATAAAAAATTGGTTTCAAGAAATTGGCACTTACCTAAACAGTAATATTCATACAGATATACTTAATGCACCTCAGCGAGTTTATAACATGGACGAGAACTTCTTCGTGAACCCCAAAGGAATAAGGTCCTAGTATCAATAGTTTAGATTTGAATAGTTTAAAGTACTTAATATCATCATCATCATCATCCCAGCCTGGAAGACATCCACTCATAGGCCTACCCCAAAATGCCAAAATCTAATTACTTTTGACAAGCAATATGGCTAAATATTGATTTTCTGACAATTATATTTTTATGTTATTTGATTTAATTATATTTTGTTGCTAATTTAATAATTTTAAAGCACAGGCTGTGCTCAGTATTCATTTTAAAGTATTTTTATTGATTTGTTTTGATGAAACACATAATATTAGAGTGATCTTATATATGTCTACTATTAGTTCCAATTGATGTCTATTTTTGGTGGATTTGATTTTTGATGCTGTCATCTTTTAGTGTCTACGACAAACCTAAGAAGAATATTATTCTTAGTTAAAAATATGTTATTTTTAAAAGATCTTACATGAAAAAGTTAATTTGTAAAAGTTGCTCTAACAGTAAAAAAAATTGTAACTGTAGTTTTTTGATAAATACATTTGCATTTTTGAGAATGAAGTTTGGTTTGTCCTTAATGTGTCTAGCATTAGTGCTTTTACCTTACATAGTTTAAGGTGACACCGGAAAAACTGTTTATCTTGTTAAAAAAAAACTATTATTGTTCCTATAAGTGTGTATTTAGTATAATGTATATTGGAAAATTCGAGTCTTAAATCAGTTCGGTTTTCTTATACCAATTAAATTGTTATTATGTCAGACCAATCTTCGAGATATTTTCCTCTGCTACAAAAGTTAAACAACCATGTAACGAGAACAGTGTATATGATGTCAAAGATGTGAAAAATTAAATACCTAAATATCAGCTGCAAAGGATTTGTAATTGCTGAGAAAAACTAAGATTTTTAATGTCAATATTTGCGATGCATCATCTTAAAACAAAGTCACTGCTACTATCTGTTTTCTTGCATCTATTAAATTACGCAATGGATTTTAATGTACTTTTTAGCAATAGATAGAGTGCTTCAAGAGGAACTTTTATATGTATAATACATGTGTGGTGTATTATAGAAATTTCAATATTTGTAATGCCTCCGTCCGAAGCTGAGGTATAATGATCATAATAATAATAATAAACTTTATTAGCCAATATACCACAGAAGCCGTTCAATGTATCGATCCATTGACAATCAACTGGCGTGTCAAATAAATAATAATATAGTTTGTTAGATAAATTAAAAAATAATTATTGATCTTTAAAATTATTAATCATCATTGTTATAACTGCCAATTCTTCTTGAATTGGCAGTCATAACAAACGAAATCTATATATTTTATATTATCTACTCACATAACCCCTATACCACATCTATATACTATTTTCTGCACAATTGGAATCTTTCATTTAGATTATCTATGCCAGAACCAATTCTTAGGTCTAATATATGAGGGTCATATATAGAAGCATGCAAGTTATACACATGCCTTGTTAAATAAGCAGGGTGGGTCATCACAGTTGGAGCCATGGTAGTAGTAGAATACTGCAACACCCATGATTCTGGCTACTGTATAGCCAGAATCATGGGAGCTGCAGTTGAAGTACATCATGTAACTTTTGTGGGTAAAATTTCCCCATAAACCATCCACTTCAGCTAGTGGGTATGAAGTTTGTGAATATTTTCCAGACGTTAAAATAGGGGTCATATATGACTACACACACACACACATACACAAAAGATATATGATTATACTTTTGATACTCTTAATTTCTATTGGTACTTTTGTCAGTCAGGTCTAGTCTGTGGGGTTCCTCCAGGAAACTGTGTGACTTCATCACAATGTGCCAACTGTCTGACCTCATTCTCATCTTATCATCTTCCACTGGTGCCCTCCCAGCATATACTATTAGCGCAAGTAACAACATTCCATTGCCATTTATTAAAAAAAAAAACATGACAAATATTAACTGAGAATGATATCATGTTCACCTTACTTGACATACAAACAGAGAATCAATCTATAGTAAAATGTATAACAGGTTTTAAATAAATTCCAAATCTCTATATTACCATTTCAAGTTTATTGTTAGTGAAGAATTATAGAACTTTTCAGTAACTGCTTACATATTTATGAGGTTCTAATCCTTGCATCCTGATTTTGACCCCTGATGTGCCTTATAACTACATAACACAAGCTATGAGCTCTTTCAATTATATTACTTAATATATTCTTAAGGGGTCACACCATTGTCATTCTGTTGTTTGACCTTGTCATTATCATTTCCAATTTATTTATATCAATTACTGAAGAATGGTAATCTGTTTGTGTGTATGCCAAATGTTTATAACAGTAAAAGAATAAACTTTTTTTCTAATGGTTTGAATGAATAAAGTATACATTAAAAAAAAAGTTATAACTAACTATTCATAAATGCTTCAATGTAAGTTTACTTGGACAAAGATTTTCTATTCAATTCTATTCTACTGAACTTTAATTACCCAGATACATAGTTGTACTCATTTCCAATAACAGACTTTGGAAAGTTCCAAACGCATGTATTGACAACTTTCTCATATAAAATCTATAGAACTAATCAATTCTATATGACATAGTAGCATACTCCTAATAATAGTGATATCTCAGGACAATTCACACAGCGCCATCTAGTCGCAAGTCGCTAAGCAGAGCTTGTGTTATGGGTACTGGTACAACTGATATAAATACATAAGAAATGCACATTATACAACGAAAACTCGCACACTGATACAATCACACTCACGAATATAAATGTTTGCCGTGCGAGGAATCAAACCCGCGATCGTTGGAAGTATGGCGGGGTGCTAAACGCCTAGGCTACCACTCTCATCAATTCACAATCAACTGGCGTATCAAGGAATTAAATGTTATTTTGGGTTGCGGTCTATGAACTTCCGCAGCCCGACCGCTACGTTTTACCGTGAGAGGTTATTTATTCACACAAAATGTATGTAAGCGATAATTCAAAATATCTTTATTCATGTAGGTCTATTACAGACTCTTTGATATGTCAAATCTACCGTCAGTTCAGAATCATTTCGAGATGAGAACTGTAAAGAAACTCAGCGCGTATTCTTTTTAAATAAATGCTAAGTAAATATTACAATGATAACGCATGGCAACGCATTGTTGGACATCATACCCACGGCTACATTTTACCATCACACCGCTTGCCATCGACAAGGAATGAATCTCTACACGCTGGACCTAAGTTGCCTAGGATCAGAGGAGCTTCCTGCCGCGTACACTTAGATTTTGTAATGAACTACCTGCCGAGATTTTCTCGAGATACTACAGCCTGTGGTTTTTTAAAATGCATGTATTATATTAAGGTTTCCTAAATGACGGCAACGCGCCCCGGGTGTTTCAGGCGTAATTACAATTTAACAATATAATAGGCAATTATACTTGGGAACATCCAGAACGATACAAACAATCATACTTATGATTGATTATAGAAATAATGATTGTACCGTGCGAGGAATCAAATCCTCGAGCAACGGAATTAAAACGGTGTGATATACAGCTAAATCACCGATGCCGTCTAGAAATCATTGACTAAATGTTACCCCTTAATTTTACTGCCATACAACACTGTTGAAACCGAAACAAAGCTTACAAAGAAAAGTAGTTAAGTTGTGACAGAGATACCCATGGAAAGGCGCAACTTACAATACACACATAGAATAGAATAAAAATATCTTTATTCAAATAAAATTAAAATTAGACTGTTTTGAATAGTTCTTTAGAGATGCACATGCAATCAATACAATATAAAATAGTTTTTTCAAATAAACTTAAATTTAAGCACTTTTGAATAGTCATAGTTTTTTAATATACCGCTCGTTCAGAAAGCTGTCTCATCACAAAAAGAACGAGAAAGAAACTTGCTTGTTGTTTTTTTAAATAATTGTTTTACCTTTACATTTTTAAGTTGTAACGTGTGAAGGTAGTTTGTAACTACCAACTAGCACTAATTCATTAGTTAAAATATTAAATATAATAATATAATCAACTGGTTAAGTAACTAAATAAGATTACATCAGTCGTAGTGATTAAAGTAAGTAACGAGTTTTGTATTTTTCAGGAGCTGTTATTAAAGCATGGGATATCGGTGTGGCGACTATGAAGAAAGGAGAGGTGTGTGTCCTCACTTGCGCGCCAGAATATGCATACGGCGAGGCAGGCAGCCCACCTAAGATTCCACCAAATTCTACACTTCAGTTTGAGGTGAGAGATTCTTAAACGAATTACAAATATTATAGAACAAACATACATACATAGTATAAAACAAAGTGGCCGCTGCTGTCTGTTCGCTTATATCTTTAAATTACATATCGGAGTTTAATGCAGCGGGGACGGATCGCTAGTTTGTTATAAAAACTGATATTATATCCATCCAGTATTCATGGTGGATGTGTGGTGTGACAAGAATGGATAAGATAAAGAATGAATACATTAGAGGAAGTATGAAAGTGGCACCGGTGTCAGAGAGGTTGAAGAGTAATCGTCTATCATGGTATGGACATGTAATGCGTAGGAACGAGGATAATATTTTAAGAAAGATGTTACAAATGAATGTGGATGGTTATAAGGGCAGAGAAAGGCCAAAAAAGAGATGGATGGACTGTGTGAAAGATGATATGGTAAGAAAGGAAGTAAATAACGCGATGACTGCGAACAGGGATGAATGGAAGCGAAAAACATATTACGCCGACCCCAAATAAATGGGATAAGGATGAAGCAGATGATGAGTATTCATGAAAAAACTAATAGCATCCACTGATGATAATGGAATGATGCAGTCGCCTGCGCTAACAGTTTATGCTGGCAGGCCATCAGTGGAGGATAAGATCAGATGAGGTATGGTCAGGTCAGTTAGCCCATCTTGGTAAATTCTCCATTAATTTATCAAGATGGTTTCCAGGGGAAACCGTATGGAGATCAACCGTACAGTGCATTGCTAGCAATGTGTTGTGCAAAACCAATTATAGTAATTATGTTATTATGAAATAAGTTTCTCTCCACACATCTCACTCCTCCTCACATGCTGATTTTAATGAGAACTTAGGTAATATATTTATGAAGTCGACTGTACCATACACTTGTCATTTACAGATTGAAATGATTGACTGGAAAGTAGAAGACCTGAGCCCTGCCAAAAACAAGGGTATATTGAGGCATATTCTGGAGCAAGGCAATGGATTCGAGAGTCCTAATGACGGTGCTATTGTTACTGGTAAGTTTGGACATATTTATTAAATTTTTTTTTTAGAGGATGATAATGGAATGGTGCGCCCGCCTGCGCTAACGGTTTACGCTGGCGGGGCACCAGTGGAGGTTGATAAGATGAACAGAAAGTCAGGTCAGTTAGCACATCGTGACAAATTCACCGGAAATTTATCACGATGGTTTCCAGGGGGAACCACGTGGAGGTCGACCTGACATGGTACATTGCTAGCAATGGGATCATTAGTCCACATTACTAACAATCCCCTATTAATTATATTATATTGTAGCGTGTTAAGTATCACCTCGCCACTGAAGCACAGGGTCGACTTTCACCTATAAGAGGTCTTGGGCACATTAGGATAATAAGGCCCCTATGACTATAGTAATAAAGCACTATTTTGTTAGAATAAACAACGTCATTTTTGAAGATGGCTCTTTAGAGATGTATATGTGGATGCCATACCTTCAAAACAATCCAGGCAAAAATAAGTTTAAAAAGTCCTTATGTGATGAGGGGTTCAAGTTCTTGCTAGACATTTAAAAAAAAAATAGTCGGTAAGACTGATATTCAGGCGAAAATAGACTAGCTATCGGTTATGGTTTGGTAATGGAGTAGGGACTAGACTAGACTAGGAGGCCCCAATTCAATCGCGGGGCCCTGGGCACGTGCCCAATGTGCCTGGTGAAGAGTTATATATATCAACTAGCTGTCCCGGCAAACGTTGTTTTGCCATATAAATTAATAACGCTATAAAAAAATAGGGGTTGATGATAGAAGGGTGAAAATTTAGGATTGTATATATTTTTGTATGTTGTATCATAAAAAAATAGAAACTAAAAATTTTGTCTAAAAAATAAAAAATAAAATTTAGGGGTGGACTAACATTTAGGGGGATGAAAAATAGATGTTGGCCGATTCTCAGACCTACTGAATACGCTCACAAAATTTCATGAGAATCGGTCAAGCCGTTTCGGAGGAGTATGGGAACGAAAACTGTGACACGAGATTTTTGTATATAAGATGAGGGGATGCTACTTAATTTGTTTCCTGTTGTATATAGGTACTGAGTATACAGGTGTAATAATTGTACTTCATTAGTACGATTATTTGATAGTGTGCTACATGGCTTATTAGTAACATGAGCAGGTCGACCTGACCTGATGCTATATTACTAACAATGGTTCACTAGTAACCATTGCCAACATGTTTGTTGGCAATATCACATGATGACGTGATTTCCATTTTTCTATTCACTGTATTACATACACACATTGTTCATAATTCATAAACAATATATAAAAATAAATAATTATAATATTATAAATTTTACAGTGGAGTTGGAAGGCAAATTGGTTGCTGATGGTAAAGTATTCGATAAGAGAACAGTCACGTTTTCGCTTGGAGAAGGCATCGACAGTAATATTTGTGAGGGAATCGAGAGAGCACTGGAGAAATTCCTCAAAGAGGAGAAGTCGAGACTCACCATCCAACCGAAGTATGCGTTCAAGTCAGAAGGGAATGCTGAACTCGGCGTGCCTCCCAACTCAGCCGTCGAATATACGGTGAAGTTAAATAATTTCGAAAAGGCGAAGGAGAGCTGGGCGATGCTCGGTCCTGAAAAGTTGGAGCAGGCGAAGATTTTCAAAGAGAAAGGCACTAACTACTTCAAAGCGAGCAAATTCCAGTTGGCGATCAAAATGTACAAGCGGGTAGTGACTTTGCTAGATGGTAAGTTAATATTAAGTTAAGATTAAGGGGTGATTCGAAAATTATATCACACAAGCTGTTCCCGCAACTTCAACCGCATGGAATTTATCTTTATTTTTCTGAATTAAAAGAATTTTTCTAAAATCAAAATAGCCTAAGTTACCCCTTATTACATCAGCTACCTGCCAAAAAAAGTCCCGTCAAAATCGGTCCAGCCATTTCAGAGATTAGCCGGAACAAACAAACAGTCAGACAGACAGACTAAAATTGTAAAAAATGTAATTTTGGTGTATGTATACATAGATAATCGCGAAAGTTTGTTAGTATGGATGGATGTTTGTTACTCATTTACGCAAAAAGTACTGAATGGATTTTGATGAAACTTTACAGTAATATAGCTTATACACCAGAATAACACATGGGCTAAAAATATCAAGCGGACAAAGCTATTATAGCACAGCAATTATTTCATATGGATGTGAATGGTTATAAGGGCAGCGGAAGGCCGAAAAATAAATGAATTGGCTGTGTGAAAGATGATAGGGCAAGAAAGGGAAAGAATAACGATATGACTGCGAACAGGGATGAATTGAAGAGAAAATCATATTACGCCGACCGTAAAATTAATTAACTGTAGAAGAAGCAGATGATGATGGTATATCACTAGTAAATTAATATTGCAATTTATGTGCTTCAGATTTAGCAGAAGATTCAAGCGAAACAGAAGAGAACAAAACAGAAGCTAAGGACCTATTGCTATCAGCGCACCTTAATCTCGCTCTAGTGTACCTGAAGGTGACACCAGTTCACCACTTCGAGGCCAGGGATCACGCAACCAAGGCACTGAAGTTTGACCCCAATAATGTGAAGGGTCTGTTTAGGAGAGGTCAAGCGTCGTTGGGCCTAGGTGAGGCTGACGCTGCCCTGAAGGACTTCGAAACAGTTGTGGATGCTGAACCACAAAACAAGGTACATTAAAAAACATAGTAAATCTAATATACTTAAGATGTTACAATAGTCTTATTGTAGCAACCTACGTAGAACCGCACCGCAGTTCTGGTCTACTGAGATACTGACTTTGTGCCTAGTTCTCAGGCTTACAATCGCAAATTGTTTATGAAAATGAATTAAGACCTGTAAATGATTGTGCCGTAATAAATTTATATATAAGATTCTTGTATGTTAGTTATCATACTCCTTTTTTTTTATTGGATTGTTTGGGCTATTCTCAGATGTTTGTAGCACCTGTAGCACTGCGACCTACATAGATCTATTGTGCTCGCCCTTTTTCAAAGTTTAGACCCGTCAGGGACAAGAATTGAAGGATATTCTTAGGAGCAATGGTTCTTATCTCCTCGGGAAAAAGTGTAAACTTTCCAAAGTTCAAATAAAAAGTTTTATAAAAGTTCAAAGATCCAATAAAAAAAAAATATCATACTCCTCCCAAACGGATTGACCGATTTTTATGAAATTTTATATTCAGTATGTCTGAGAATCGGCTACTATCTATTTATCATACCCCTAAGTACCCACTTCTAACATTTTTTTATTTTCCCTTTTGTGACTACAGTAGGGTTTTTCAAGAAAGGTATATTAAGGTTTCTTAAGGGTCGGCAACGCGGACGTAACGCCTCTGGTGTCTCAGGCGTCCATTGGCTACGGTAAACGATTACCATCAGATGGGCCGTATGCTTGTTTGCCTTGCTTGTTTTGTTGGGATCGAAATTACGACGGCCTGAGTCGAGGTTCGACCCGTTAGAAGTGCCATAACTAAGTGCCCAGACTAAAGTCGTATTCGTCAGGCGGGAGTAGACCTTCAGCCGCTCCTTAAGTGTTTCCACGGATTTGGAGTGCCATCTGCACTCGCCCCTTATCGTTGAGTGAAGCTGTAAAGCCCAGCTGCGGCCAACAGCATTAAAGTAGTTCGAAAAAAAATAGAATAATATTGTTTGCCACCAACATAGTATAAAAAATACTTGCTAGAACACCAAGGCCGTCAATTATTATTATTATTATTATTAACAATGTACTGGTTATATCGCAGGCGGCCGCTAACCAAGTGATCGTATGCCGCGCCACCATCCAGAAGCAGAAGCAAAAGGAGAAGCAGCTGTACGCGAACATGTTCGAGAAGTTCGCCAAGAAGGACACGGAGGTAACAGGTCCGCATGCTCTCTGCCCTCTCTCTCTCTATCTCTATCTCTATCTATCTCAGTCCCACATGTAAATTATTGCAATGCGTAATTTCGCATTTTACTTCCTATTAATATCTATCCAAAACATTTTAATTATTGAAGTACTAAAAAACATTGAAATTTTTCTTATTTCATTTTCCATATTCAAGTCGAATTACCAATCGCGGGAATTGTGAAACACTTAAATTAACTATAATAATCTTTATTCAAGTAAACTTCAGAAAAGCACTATTTAATAGTTATTTTTTTTATTTTACAACTCATTCGAAACGCAGACTTACAAGTAGAATGAGCAAAAAACTTGCGTGTTGCTCTTTTAAAGAAATGTTGCTCAGAATTACATTTTTAATATTGTGTTATTCAAAAGATTAATGTTAAGTAATGTAAATTGTACTACTTTTGTCCGCGCCCAAATATACTAACCTGTTATAATATTTTTAAATTCCATTGGTACACTACTACATAAATTTTCAGTCATCTTAAAGAAAATTTAAATAGTTTTACGCATTCTAAATATAATCAACTTTTTGGTCAGGTCTCTTCAAAGCAAAGTAAATTTAACTGCAATGTAGAAGTAAAAACCAGTAGGTAGTTATGGACCCTAGCTGTAGTATTCAAATTCAAATTCAAATTCAAAATATCTTTATTCATGTAGGTCTATTACAGACTCTTATGATATGTCAAATCTACCGTCAGTTCGGAATGATTTCGAGATGAGAAGAACTGACAAGAAACTCAGCTCGTATTTTATTTTTAATGTTCTACATATTTATAATAATACTATTTCATTTAAATTCAAATTTGGGAGAATAGAGTGACCACCAGCATATGCTATATTTTATAGTTAGTATCATTACCCATTGTGAAAAGAACTTTATAATTGCATAAAAATATTGCTTAATAACATCTGAGAGGAAATATTTTGTTTTATTTAGAAGGCAAAGCTTTAATGGCGAGCTTCAGAACATCATCAAATTCCATGTAATGCTTGTTTATTTGGAATACGAATAGCTAATGAAGTTTTTATTTGTAATACCATTTTCTATAATAGGTTACCATTTGTTATTTGTAATCGGTTACAATATATATTTTTTATTGCAATTAAAATTATTGCAATAGTTGACAACTATTGTGTGTGTGTGTTTTAGATACACAAACAGACGATCTTTTAGAATGTAGTTTTTATATATTTCTATATTATTGTGAATCTTTTTTTGTCCCTATATAGTCATCTATACTAACATTATAATGCAAAAATGTGTCTGACTATCTGTTTGTTACTGCTTGAAATTGATTTTAATACATTTAAATATGATTTTTTTTACGAATATAGAAACAAGCTTTTTTTTTTAATTCAGACTCATATATAACAGCTAGTTTTCGTCTAAACTTAACTAATCATATTATTTTTACTTTCAGTTGGAGAAGCAGAGAGCTAAAGAAGAGGTGGACGTAATAGGGGAGAAAGTGGGAGAGTGGGGCGCGGGGGAAGGCGAGTGGACCGACCAGCAAAGAGACCGGAAGCCAACGGAATTCGAAAAGGAAAATCCTAACATCCTCATGCTAGACAAAGACGGACAGTTCCAGAATATGTGAAGTGCATACCACTGTCTCGTTCTACATTGGTCACAAGTGTTTTGTCAATGGTTTGTTAGAGATATATACGTCTAAACATTCCCGTCTGGAAAGAATTCGTGTCTGTTAGAAGCTTAGTGCATTGTGACATTTTTTTAATTTTTATTCATAAGTGTAAACGGCACTTTGTACAGCTCTGTAATCTGTAATTGATTATAATTATAAAATAAAAATAAAACTTAATATTGTCAGTTCAGTAAAGTGATATTGAATTCAAATCGAGATCAAATCTAAATTGTGTTAATGAATGTAGTATTTGCTTTGGAATTATAGAGAATTTCGTGGTCATAGTTTATTATATTGCCAGCGATCTCTGTTCATATATGCATTTCTACTAATAATGAAATCCCTACTAATAATTGTTTGTTTGTCCTTCAGGTGTTGTACTGTCCTTAATTATAATATACCAAACCCGTACGAAATTGTCAAACTTTATTGAGCAAACTGAAATAAGCAACAGCTACACTGTGTCTCTCAAACCTTGTTGGCAAAACCACAGCCATTCAAATTAAAGAATCAGAAATGTATTCACCGTAAGAGTTGCAACTGTCTCCGAACCAGCCTCGGATCACTATTTTTTTAAGCTGGTCAAAAAAAATTACATTCCCCCTCCAGCTAACATTTTTACAATAATATTAACTTACAATTTGTCCAATTAGTATTGCTGTTAATTATGGTTTTTTAACAGTTATATCTCCATTTTCAAATGTATTAAATACAAAAAAATACTTTTTAAAAGATGAGTTGTGTATTCATCTGCCAAGATCATATTTGCCGCCTCCAGGACTTGCCTCCCGGGGCGTGAACCCGTATTGCTTCCCCTTAGATCCGAGGCTGCTCGAAACTACACAGTCTGCTACAGACAGAGATACTTTTGCATTTATAATATTAGTAAGGATTTTGATATTACTAGAATAGAAAGCAGTGGATAGCTGAGGTGTTAAGTAGGTATCCAGTATTGAGGGCTCTTACCTGTATTTTTTTATTGGGTTGTTTGGGCTATTGTCAGGTTTTTGTAACACCTGTAGCACTGCGACCTACATAGATCTATTGTGCTCGCCCATTTACAGAGTTCGCTAGCCCGTCAGGGACAAGAATTGAAGGATATTCTTAGAAGCGATTGGCTCTTACATGTAAGACCACCGCAATATATTGCTGTATAAAACACATTTAATAAACCTTTAATAAATCACATTTTACAAAGCAAGCTGCTTAGTAACTCAATTAGGTGAGACAGAAGTTATCACTGTACAAAATCTGCATAATAACTATTGACTACTATATTTAAGAATATTCTTTGGCATCGTTAGATTTGATTTTGATACAATTATGTTAAGTCAGGGTGGCCTTTGTGTACAAAATAATGGAACAGGTTTCTGATGACATCTCGATTATAGATCTCTTTAGTGAATTATTAAATCTAGTGCTTGATATTTTTTATCTACAATATCGGTAGCTAGTTTTTAATCTGTAATAGTTCTATGTAACATTCTCGAATCTTCCGTGTTTAGAGGTTTTAAACTTACATATTAATGTACAAAATGGGATTCCTTATCTCCCCGCGCTGTATTGTATTGTTTATTGTTGGCTGTGCAGCATTAAGTTTAATTGTATCCTCGTAGTTCTGACGGCGTTGGTTGTCTAGTGGTTTAGTAGATCTACCATTGATGGTCGCGAGTTCGATTCTCGCACGGTACAAACATTTATTCGTATGATTGTTTGTATTGGTCTGTTTTCTTTGTATATTATGTATTTATAAGTATGTTTGAGTGTTTCTATCTGTTTACACTTATAGTACAAGTTCTGTGTAATTTTGTGACTAGATAAGCACTGTGTGAATTGCCCTGGGTTACATACAACCATACTACAGTCAAATTTAAATTTTGTAATTTTGTCTATGGTGGGATGTTATTGTTTTATATAATTGCTAATTACCCACCAGAAAAAAGCTTTTCACATATAATATCGGATGTTAGTAGTTTTGTGTGTATTAGGGTATTGTTAATTTTATAATTTCATATAAAATAAAAAACCTTTAAACGCATGAAGTAACTCTGAATAAACTGTTAAAAACTAATATTGTCTGAGTATTACTTTTGTGATCGTAAGAAGACCTTTACCTAATTAATCTGGAATATTTATGGTGGTTCTCATCTTTAGGAGATTTTATTGAAAGATCTTGCCCATTAAGTAACTATTCGCATGACCTTTAAGGTCAGTATATGGTAGTATAGATAACTATTAAGATGTTTCTATAATAACATTGACAACTGAAAATAAAAGAGATTTGGTTATGGTAAAATATAGTTTAATTTTCTCAACTAATGTAAAAGTGTGTTCACATTGAAACAAAAATAAATTTAAATACATCTCTAGTGTAAAACAAAAATATAACAAACATTGTTGTAAATCATTACAGTTAAGTGTCTCTTATGATTCTGATAAAGATTGTTTTGTGAAAATAGTATTTAAGGCTTGAACATTAAATTCTCAAAACAACTTTAACATTGCGCGGCAGAATTACAGTCAACATTGACTTAGACCAAGGTACATAGGAATGACATAATCTTCAATAAGTGCCAAGAATGTTTTCTTGTGTCTTCTTCTAAAGGTGCGGTTACACAGGTATGTAAATGTAGATAAAGAGAACGAGGCTGACTGCTCGCACATTGCCGCGTTCTTCAATCGTGAGTGCTTTAACGACTTTTTTATTGATTATCATTGCAAAATGGAGTGCATCTGACTATAGAACAAAGACAAAATTATAAAGTTATTGAAAATCTTAATCGTGTATGGAAAATAAAATTTGTGGAGTAAAAAATATGATTTTAAATAAAGTGAAATGACTTGGAAGCCTACGCACTATCACGATCGAAATAGCGATCACAAAAAATAGTCAAATGCAAGCATTCACGATTGTCCTCACTGGCTTACCCGCGCACGAGCTCCTGATTGGTTCATAATATAAATTTACAGTTTTCTGGTGTCGGGTGGATTACAACTCATTTACTGTGGGCCCAAAATCAGGGTAGAATTCCCCTAATCCACAACAATTAACGATTCTAATAATCTGTATATACAGTTGTAGGAAATTGTTTTGTTGTCGAGATGTTATAATTTATACAAATCTTCATATATTGTGAAATTTAAATTGCCCATGTAAACACACCTTAAGGACTAGTACAATTTTTTAATCAAATAATACAGTAACTTAATCACCAGTTTCATAAAAAAATAAAATTCCTACACATCAATTTGTACTATAAAAAAAAAAATTGTCACTTTCATCCAAATTAAGAAAGTAGCATGAAAGAAAAGGACCAAACAGTTTATTGTACTGTTTATATTTACTTTTTTATGCCTCATTCTTTTATATTCACTAATTTGTCATGTTTACGATAATTATATATTTTTAATCTCTTTTAATATAAAGATAAAAATAAATTATTTGTACTCTAGTTAAAACACATTTCACTCTTTATTTATGTGAGCACAACACAATTTACACACAATTATCATTGGATCAGTGATTTTATCACTTCTCTTTATTACTTCTTAATTGCTTTTTTAATAGTTCTCTGTGGCAACCTCACTATTATACTTTAACGATGGACCCCTGTCCAATATCATTATACACTTGAATAATTATATAATACATACTAAAAATAAATATTTTGTCATCTAAAAATAAAAATCTCATTTGTAATTCCACAATGATGACCATACTGCTCTAAGTTGAGATCACCAAGTTTACTTACTACTTATTTATACCATGTGCGCTTCATTAACGTTTCACTCTCAAAAGTTGCCGCGATTTATAAATTATGACTTAGTATTTCAGCTGTACCACATTTGTAATATATTAAACTTAAATGTAGCAATTATTAAATGTAAAATTAATAACTGTCACCCTGACCATGCTACAGCGCACACTGTATAACTAATTTCTATAAATTAAATACACAATACTGTATTTCGATAAAGTAATCATTATGCAATACTCCGCTATGAAATATAAATCTCAGTGCAAAATATATATTTAAATATCTTCTGATATATAGATTCTCACATTTAATACTCCTAGGACGTCACACCAGCATCATATCGATTTGAAGACATTAATTATTAATTAAAGAATTACTTTATGTAGGTACTATTTAGGTATTATGTAGGTATTCGGGGTTAGTTTTATAGGATATATCAAATCAGAAGCTCATGTAAAATTCTCATCAGACTGAGCCTCTTTCGCCTTGAAGCAAGTATATAATGTAAGTATATTGTTAGATTTTGTGAAATACTGTGGTAATACTGACAATTAAATGTAAGGTGGCAACATTAACAAGTAAATTGATGTATTGATTGATATTGAACTGACCTGGCCTGACTGATAACCCAGGAGTGGTTATTATTAAACATAAATAAGAAATAAGGCATTGACGAGATCGTGCTGAATTTAGTGTAGTTCATACAGGGAATGTGGCACCAGATTATTTGATTTTTACAGACTATAATAGGCTATACATTCTGTTAATATACATAAATGAAAATCATTCATCATTAATCAGGAAATAAATGTTGAATACTTCACTCTAAATTGGTATCCAAAGCCCTTAAATTTATGAATACTAACACTTGTTTTCGGCTTGGCCTCTTTACTAACACTATATATCTGGTTCGAACTCGTATTTTTAAGTTGGTTTTGAGTTTATGCTTATGAACTCTTAGTTAAATATACACTCAAGATTGTTCATGGTATATTTATATAATGGATAGATATGGAATGGACCTACCACCTACGTACCTGCGGTAAAGCTATACGCTGAACATAGGATCAGGAGAAGAAGTCATGTCAGTTTCCCCATCATGTCGAATTCACCCGGAATTGACAAGAATGATTTGTGGCATATATGAAACTTATGATAGCTGCTTTAAACTCTTGAAAGTGATCACTATATAATTTTAGACCACATAACCGGAGTGGACCAGGGCGGGCGTTCTAGGGCTCCTCGTCGGAAGCGGAGGAGATGTCAGCGGAGCCCGAGGCGGCGGTTGGGTCCTGTTGTACCGCCCAGAAGCTGGCCAGCACCTCGAAGTGCATGAGTAGGGAGTGTGCCATGCCGGGCTGCTCGTGAAGATGACGGCTCACCTGCGAAACATTGTAAGTTAGGACAAATATTATTATCATATAATAATATTACTATATTATAAACGCGAATTTGTTACTATTTCACGCAAAAACTACTAACGGATTTTGATGAAACTTTACAGTAATATAGCATATGCATCAGAATAACACATAGGCTATATTTTATACTGAAATTTCTATTTTGAAATTAAACGCGACTGAAACCGCGGATACAGCTAGTAATATATAATAATAATATTGTATAATAATGATAACGGCCTTGATGGTCTAACAGTTTACGTTTGATTCCTCACACAGTACAAAAATTTGTATTTTATTTGTATCGATGTGGGCGTTTTCTATGTATACTATGTATTTACAAAAAATGTACTTATGTATATCTGTTAGTTGTTTAGTACCCATTACACAAGTTCTGCTTATCTTGGGATTAGATGGCGCTGTGTGAATTGTCCCGAGTTATGATTATTATATAATGAATTGTATAATACACCTTAGCGCCAAGTTTCTTGAGTAGATTAGTGAAAGCTTTCTCCTCTCTGCCGATCCAGGGCCGACCCTCGTCCTGCACCTGGTACGGACTCACGTGGATATAAATATTGACATCTGGAAATTTAAATTATATTTTTATTATTATTAACAAACAAAACTGAGTTTCTTGAGTCAGTTTAAGAGTTTTTATTAATTTTATAAAATTCTCTCATTGTTAATTAGTTTGAGTGTACCTCCATTCAACTATTAAATGAGACAATTTTAGACCTGATATAGTATTTGATAGCAATGGGACACTATCCCCATTAGTGACTATCCCATCCCACCCCCTAAATACATGAAACCTAAAACTCAAAATTAATTATTAACATACGAAGTATCAGCCTCTTGTGCACGTCAAAAAATATATGTTTTTTTTTAAATAACACATTACGCTCGGATATTAAGTTGCAGATTTATTTGTTTTTTTTTAAAGAAATACAATTTATATCCTACGGGATACCTTCATATGTTAGGATTCTACTCTTTTAGAAGTAAATAAAAAGTTATATATCTTATTTTAATAATATTATAAACCCGACAGTTTGTGTTTATGGATGTTTGTTACTCTTTCACGCAAAAACAACTCGATGGATTTTGTTGAAACTTTACAGTGATATAGCCTATGCATCAGAATAATACATAGGCTATAAATTTTAGGCAGGTAAAGTAGGCACAGCTAGTGTAGTAATAATAGACCTACCAAGCCTGGTGAGAGTCTCGAGGAGGCTGCGCGACGTGATCCACGTGTTCTTTCCGCCCGCGTGACCCCCGTCCAACCACCACATCTCAGAGATGCGCTCTATAAACCTAACAAAGAAATAATTGATTGGAATTAAGTAAATATCGCAGACGCAGGAATGAATAAAAAACGAACATGTTCATAATAAATCTAACTAACTAAATTACATCTAACATATTAATTAGTGGTCGCCCAATGATCGAAATTGGACTATAATTATGAAGGTTCTATTGTCAAAGACTTCTATGTGTGTGTGTGTTAAATACATGTACTAATATTATTACTATTACCAACACTAGTTTGTAATGTTTTTTTTATTGATTTACTGCATTCGCTCAGCTTAGTTTGGGACTAGATGGTAATCTGTGAATTCAAATTCAAAACTCATATATTAATATAGGACATTAGCCGCTTATGAACGTCAAATTTTTTACATTATAATTTTATTTTTTTCCCTACCATCCAGTTCAGTATATATATCCAATTGGGAAGAACTGGCAAGAAACTCAATTGAATTACTTTTATTGTCCAGGGTTACTTTAATTGTCCTGGGATATTATTATCCATTTTTTATTTGTCGTATTCTTTCAATTTGTTGTTAAATGAAATGTCACCTCATCATGTGTGCGTCACCCGGCGTGAGTGTTTTGGTGAAGTGGAACTCGTATATGAGCTGGTTGAGGACCACGCAGCCCTTGCTGAACCCCACCAGCGTCAGGCGGCTCTCGTCCAGGGCGAGGTTGTCCCTCCACCACAGTGGCTCCACCATACTGTCACTGCATACAACGTCTACACATCAATGACGTGTGAAATATGGTAGAGTAATGACAAATTGGTCCTTCGCGCCGGAACACAGTTTACGAACTAAGTGATTTCAACCTCTACTCAAAGACCCTAAAGGGGAGAACACCGATATGGCATGTAGAGCGTTGTATTACGATGTACTCCTAAATGCATTATAATAACAACATAAGTGTATTGTAGAATGCAAGTGAGGCAGAATAGTGTGGTTCTGCTCTAAACGAGGAGAAGGGTTCGTGTCTACGGGGTACGGGGCCTACCCCCGTACTCCGTAGACACGAACCCCCGAAAGTTGTTTTGCGATAGACAGATAAAAATATGATACAAATAAGACCATATTATATGTTTTAAATATAACATGTCATTGTTTGTCACTTTCCTAGTAACGTCAAAAATTTTTTGGGTCAATAAAATTATTTTGACTTAGAAGTATGGTGAAATCTGAATGTAATAGTACAAAAAAATATATTCTTTACTTGTGACAGCATTTCAGCGGAGCGAAAGATTGTATGGATGTATGTTTGTTACTCTTTCACGCAAAAACTACTCAACGGATTTTAATGACTTGATTGATGACTTTATAGTCACATAGTTTATATGTACATCAGAATAACACATACGCTATAATTTAAAAAGATATTTTGTAAATTGGGCGATATATAATGATAAATGTAGTCAGCTAGTCAAAAAAACAAACAATTATAAAAAATGTATAATAAAACTTTGTTTTACACCACAACATCCATTGGAACTAAACCTACTCACGGCTTGTGTTCACACTCTGTGGCCTGCGCGCCGCTCTGAACCGCATCAGTTTTGGTGGAGCCGTTGGACTTGCTATGTTCACCGTGGTGAACAGCAGCGTTCTGTATTGTATATATATGTTAGTAAATTATAATAATATCCTCGGATATTTCACACAACGCCATCTAGTCCCAAGCTAAGCAAAGCTTGTGTTATGGGCTCTAGACGATTAATATAAATACTTAGTTTTTTTTTATATAGCACAGGGGACAAAGGAGCTTGCAGCTCACCTGATGGTAAGTGATTACCGCCGCTCTTGAGCACCCGCAACACCAGGGGAATTGAAAGTGCGTTGCTGGTCTTTCAAATATATACGGCTTTTATAAACATATGTATATGTATATTATAGTTTCATCGAACAAAATGGGAGCGAGTACATGGGGTACTCCAAACCCACGGATAAATGTATGCATAGGCGGCAGGCCAACTCCTGACAGTTACCACTTTAATCTGAAGAAACCTATCGGATCCGAACCTCGAATTAGGCCATTATAATTACGATACCCATTAGAAAGAGACAGAGATATTATATTAATATTGAACGGAGAGGGATATAATATTTACATAGTATAAAATGAAGTTGGTTCCGCCGTATGTTCATCCCCTCCGATCGATCCCCCGTCCAATTCAAATGAGGATCGAAATTACGACGGCCTGAGCCGAGGTTCGAACCCCTAGTGGTGCCCTCAGACTAAAGTCGTATCCGTCAGGCAGGAGTTGACCTTCAGCCGCTCCATAAGTCCTTCCGCGGGTTTGGAGTGCCATCTGCACTCGCCCCCTAACGTCCGGTGAAGCTGTAAAGACCAGCTGCGGCCAACAGCATTAGAGTAGTCAGAAAAAAAAACCGTCTGTTTACTTAGATCTTTTAAACTACGCAACGGATTTTGATGAAGTGTTCCGCAATAGATAGAGTGATTTAAGAGGAAGTTTTATATGCATAATACATATAAACACGTGCGCAGCCGGGGCGGGTAAGTAGTATGATATAAATTGTTACATGTAAGTCTTCTATATCGATGTCTTCTGGCAAACTGACAGAGGTGACTGCTTCGAGCAGCTCCGAAGCAGGCATAGCTTTTAATCTATTGCCGACACCTTGTAATAATCTGTAACATAGACAACATCTTTATAACACATGTCATAAAACCGAGTATGGATGTTTGTAACTTTTTCAAGCAAAAACTACTGAACGGATTTTCATAAAACTTTACAGTAATATCAGAATAACAAGTAGGCTATATTTTATACTGAATTTTAACGCGGGTAAAACCGCAGGCACTGCTAATAAAGAATATGCTGTTCTGTTTATACTTACTCAAGCTAAGCAGAGCTTGTATTATGGGTTCTAGACAACTGATATAAATGCATAGATAGTGTGATGCAGACGGTTGTGCGGGTCAGCTAATCTAAATATATATATAACTCAAAGGTGACTGACATAGTGATCTATCAACGCACAGCCCAAACCACTGGACGGATCGGGCTGAAATTTGGCATGCATAAAGCTACTATAACGTAGGCATAAAATCATATTTACTGAGCAAAGCCTATTACTCACTAAACGATTACTTGAATGACGAGCATGCATGACAATAGTTGTTCATGAACGGGATTTTCATTTAATGTTACCAAATCAAATAAAAAATCAATCATCGTTGTATTTTCTGTGAGAGGAACAATAAAGAGTTCCATTCATTCATTCATTCATCATTTATTCATGTAGGACAAAATTAGACCTACGTAAGTACACAGTGTAAGCTAGGTGTTGTTTACACGCCAGGTCGCATGTAGAACGGAGCGCGCGATTCTTAAAAACTCGATTTTAACAGATCGGAATTTTTTTTAATGGTAAACGATAGATGGAAATTAATGGTGGATGAAATTTTGGTCTTGATCGGTTGAGCCATTTCGGAGGAGTACCGTTACAGAGTGCAAATCTGACCTATAAGATAGAATAGAAAATCATTTATTAAAATGATTTTCTGATCGGATCGGATTTTTTTTTAATGGTAAACGATAGATGGAAATTAATGGTGGATGAAATTTTGGTCTTGATCGGTTGAACCATTTCGGAGGAGTACTGTTACAGAGTGCAAATCTGACCTATAAGATAGAATAGAAAATCATTTATTCAAATGATTTTCTGATCGGATCGGATCGGATTTTTTTTTAATGGTAAACGATAGATGGAAATTAATGGTGGATTAAATTTTGGTCTTGATCGGTTGAGCCATTTCGGAGGAGTACCGTTACAGAGTGCAAATCTGACCTATAAGATCGGTCCGTGCTCCGCGCTCCGCTCAATAAACTGATAAAAAAAAATCAGTTGAGTTTCTTGCCAGTTCTTCTCAATTGAATCTGTATACAGAACTGGACGGTCGAGACAACATTATAATACAAAAAAATTACGTTTATAAGCGGCTAAAATGTCCTACATAAATAAATTATTTTTTATTTAGAGATTTTTCATTTTGATTTAATTTTACTCCCTTACCTCTCGAGGTGGTGGAGGGCGCTGTGCGTGGGGGTGTGGTCGGGCACGCCCGCGTTGTTACTAGGCACGAAGTTGTCATAGCAACTAAAACTCTTGTACTCTATCCTGAAAGAACATAGTAATCTCTGAATTATATATGCATATAAAAAAAAACGTATTCGCGTTTACTTCTTAGGAGAGTTCACCTTAATGTCATATATATAAGGTATATTTTTGTAATGGATGACAAATAGGTTTACCCTCCTGTGCGGGGCACCAGTGAAGGATGATAGGATGAGCCTGAGGTCAGGTCAGTTAGCCATCGTGCTAAATTCATATTATTAACATTATAATCGCGAAAGTTCGTGAGTATTAATGATTGGATTTTGTTACTCTCTCACGCAAAAAGTACTAAACAGATTTGGATGAAACTTTACAGTAATATAGCTTACAACTTCAAAATAACACATAGGCAATAATTTGAAAAAATATTATGTAAACTGGGCGAAATATAACGACATGTTGCGTGAAAGAGTAACAAACATCCAACCATCCATCCATACTCAGAAACTTTTGCGTTTATAATATTAGTAGAATAAAAAAAGTAAGGAAGTCATACCTAGAGGGTCTCACAACCAATATATGTTTGTTGGGGAAGTACCGGCCCAGCATGCGAGCAGTATTCTCCAAGTTCCACTTCACATAGTTCCTGTTGTCTCTATGAGCTTGCATTACTTCCGGATAGTCCTAAAACATATTTTTTTATTTAAAGACAAAGCAAATGTAGTGCGATGGTTATCACCTCACCACTGTAGTGTTATATATGATGTAATGAGGTGTCGCTACTTATTTGTTTCCTGTATCTAGGTAGTGAGTATACAGGTGTAATAATTGAACTACATTAGTAAGTTTATTTGATAGTGTGCTACATAAGCCATATCACTATAAGGACCGCCGTTGAATATTATGTTAATCATACATATTCCAATATACAACTTAATGAATGTATCACTATTCAAAATTGCTTAAAGATAAGTTTAGCTTAATAATGGATTTTCTATAGAGTCCATAAATGAAACGATGGAGCGTTTTACTTTTATAACCACGCCATCTAGTAACATTTGTGAAAATTACATTTGCTTTATATTTCTAACAGTTTACCTGAACATCACCCCCGAAGTAAACGAGGGTCTGCGAGGCGAGGGCGGGCCGCGTCGCCGGCTGGAACAGGGTGTCATTGAGCCGCCCCTCGTGGCCGGAAACGCGGCGCAAACGCAGAGGCAGCATCTCACACTCTCACATCAGTTGCATCATTACTGCAATTTTAGAACATATAATGCTTTATGACGTAATCATGAACAAAGATTACTATTCATCCTCGGTGGACTAGCACTACGCTTTACTTCCGATTGTCGCGGGTTTGACAAAAACAGTATGATGGTTTAAATTGGTCTGGGTGTTTTCTATGTATATTAGAATTAAAAAATATATATTATATCTATGTATTTGTATCAATTATCTAGGTACCAATAAAACAAGTTCTATTTAACTTGGTATTAGATGGCGCTGTGTTATTTGTCCAGGGTTACTATTATTATTAGGTATAGAGATGCTAACCACACAAGAATCCTACAAGTACGAGATGTTACCTTCATTATGAGGGTATTTTCATACACCTATAAGTTTGAATGAGAATTTTACTCTCGGATATCGGTTATGTTACCTTCATTATGAGGGTATTTTCATACACCTATAAGTTTGAATGAGAATTTTACTCTCGGATATCGGTTAACATACAATGATATACGAAATTAAAGAGCCAAATTGAGATTTTTATTTTGTCGTAGGCTTAATGTTCTAAAATAACTTTATTTATTATTTATTAAAAGTAATTATAAGAATATATTTAAGTTACGCTAATGTATTAGGATTGAAACCTGTAAATATAGTACTAAGATTAGAAATATAATTAAATTAAATTAAAAATATTGGCAACATTGAATGGATAAAAAACTGTCAGTTGAGCAACCATCAAGATGAAAACTTGCCAAAGATGAGAGCCTACACAAGAATACTATTATTGTAAACTCTCGCTAACATCTTTTTGGGGTAGGCAGCGACCACATACATCTATCTTCTAAGCTGACATACCCCTCTAGATTGTATTGAGGAAGTAGGGTAGGAAGGAGGTACATATTTATATAGGCTCATGGATTTCTCAACTCTGGCAATTGTTTTAAGAAAATATTACTGTCTAATTCGCGTGTTGGTGAATGACTAATGACTACCGTAATAGACACAGCAATATCTAGTGAATTGCGTGTACCACTTGCATGTAATCACAGATAACAGATAATGTTACTGATACTAAAGATATCTGTACTGACATATAAAATAGTGATGTAGATAATAAAACTAAAGATTTAGCATGAAATTATGTATTTAAAAAATACTTAAATGACAATTAAGTAACACAAGATACTTTAATAAAATTTTAAAGTAAAGAAAATATACATTAATTTCTTTTCACTTATCTATAACTGGCTTAAATGATTGACTAGCAATCAATATATAGACATACCTAGCACATGTATATCTTCATATTCTATATCTTTGATGAAGCATTACAATCAGTTCGATATCTGAAGGTCTATTAAAGGCCATTTAGAAGGATAAGCACTAATACTGATATAATATAAAATACTTTAAACACAAAACAAAATGCCAGTATTCCTCTAAATTATAATCTGTCTAGTTCAACTTACTAAATTAAACAATAACTGCTACAAATGTAATTCTTTTAACCTACTATTTGTATAGTAATTGTAAATTCCTGGTACTACAAAACTCATCATCAAACTTCTTTTGATGCTGTAATAAATAATCACAAGTGATGAATATAATTCACATCACTTCATATTTCTGCTTTGTTTCTGATGATAATACTTAGTGTCATTCATGCACACTGTAATTTTCAAGGTGATATCATCGAGACAGTTCTTCAAGTCCTCTCGGAGCTCTCTGACCTTGACTCTCACATCCTCACACATCAGATTGTAGCACATAGCCACCAAGCCCATACCAAGCAGGACATAGATGAAGTTTATAACCAGCTTCAGGTGTGACCCTCCAGCTGAATCAGATATGTTTGCACCTGGAACAAAGTCACCAAACCCAATTTTGCACAGACTAATAACACAGAAATATGTCGAGTCCAAATAGTTCCACTTCTCCCAAGCTCCAAACATAATGGTGCCCGTTAAAATGTAAAATGAAATCACCCATAGACAAGCTGTCGATGGTACAGTTATTTTCTCTTTGGCTGTATTTCACCATCCTCAAACAAGGGGTCTTCTCGGCGGCTACATTCATGAGCAGTAATATACAACCACTTGAAAGTCTTAGCTAGGACTTTGCCCATGTTACAAAAGTATAGGATGTATATTGGTATACCAAAACATGCATATGCCATTGTCACAATTTTGCCCCAAACAGACTTTGGCACTACATTCCCATAGCCAATCATTGTGAACACTGACAGAGAGTACATTAGTGCAGCTGGGAATGACCAGATATCCTCCGCTGTCCTCCCACTGTATCCGGTATGAACTGCAACAGTTATATTGTTTTGGAATAACTTTAAGACATTGTTTACTTTATGCATCCATACAGTCTCATTGAAGATATTTACATTTATTGTTATATTCCACAATTTCTCTGCACAATTCAGTCTCCAGTTCTTCACATCCTCTAGCTGTAGATCAGGGTTGTCTTTTTCAATGTGCATAAAGCCTGCAGCACCCAATATCGCATAGCACACCACAAGGGCACCAACACCCACTTGTGTAAACATGAAAGCTATGAACTTCCTAAAACAATCCTTGATCTTCTCTCTCGGGTCACTCTCCATGGTGGATGTTGAGTCTCTACTTCTGTTTGAACCATGGTTACTTGAATGAAGAGGATGGTGATGATCCATGATTTTATTATATGGTATTTGAGGGAAGGAAGGTGGTATGGCGTAAACGCGTTGTGAATAGTTTAACGGCCGCTATTTCGGGAATACAGTTGGCGCGGCGCCAATAAAATGTTTGAATACAAAACATCGTGAAAAGTACGTTTCACGTCACTACGTACACACTTATTTACACATTTTAAACACTATTTTTCATTCATTTCTAGATTGTGTGTATAATTAAGTATTAATTTAAAACGTTTATCGCTTTCATACATATTTATAAATGTGTGAGAAATAAAGTGGTTAATTTAGGGTTTATGAAAGAATTCGGAAAATGTTTCCGAAACCTTCGATGCTACAGACTGACATTTATTACCTTAATTATAATTAAGTACGCTATTATTACTATTACTATTGCTATTTATTTTATTAGTGGTTACGTACGTAAACACTAATAAAATAGAGTAAATGTGAAAATATAGAAATAATATTGTTTACGTACCAAGATGTATGCTTGTAGAGTAGGTAAAATCCAAAAATTGGAAAATAACGTAGAGTTTATTTATTATAACGTAGTGTTTAGCTGCAAATGTGAAAACAAAACAAATATTGTTTAACAATTGAGTTGTTATTATTAAATAGCGAGAAAGCAAAATTTTCCATAAATCATAATTTCAATTATTTGTTACTTTTCTGTATTTTTTCACGAGTAATGTATTTTATACAATAATTTATTTATTTTAGCCAGATTTTATTTATTTTTTGTTTTTATTTCAGTTGCATTGTATATAAAATTGACTGAAGACGGATTGACACTGTAACACAGTGTACGCTTGAGTGACTGATTGATGTTTACAGAGAATAGAACTATGGACGACACAGATGAAAAATGAATACTAGTTTTGTTTTTATAGTAACTTTTTTGATGCTTGTACAAAACACCATGAAATTTTTAGTACGAAAATGTCTCACATTTTGTGAGACATTTTCGTCAAATTTTCTCGAAGAAGAAAGTATCTAATTTGTAACATATAATTTGTATAATAATAATAAAAATGTAGGTTATTGGCCTTGTTTGCTAGCGGCGCCGTCAATGTTGTCATCTCATCTAATTCAAAAGTCAATGTCAAATATAATTTGGAAAAAAAAACTACACGTTTTCTTGGCGTTGTTTGCTATCCGGCATTGCATTTTAAAAAATTCAACCCATATTTTGTTTGTTGCGATGTAAAATGTAGTGTGATACATAATAGATGCACATCTTCAAGTATTTACTATTGGTTTTGTAAGTATTTTCTTAAATATTATACCTTCGAGACATCATACAGCTAATGGCTGAACATGACCAACCTATGAATTTTTCAATGACATGAAAAAACACTTTAATAATACATGTACAATTTAGCAGTAGTTACAACCATATGTTTTGCTACGTCTATATTGTTTTTTGTTTGCCATCGTTATATTATACCTGATTACTTTATTTGTTACCAAGGTTGGGCCGGCATTAAGGCAATATGTTTTGTCTTTCAGACCCGTAATATCATCATAGACATGTAGCTGCAGGTCGGAGTACAGTTTTATTATGATTTTTACAATAGCAGCATTACATTATCCACCATTTAACATGTAGCAGTTGCAATAGATGGAACAATACAAGTAATGGCTTCCCCATCGACGTCGGCCGGGTGGGCGGGCGACGCGGACCGAAATCCAACCGATTTGCTGCAGACCCTCAAACTGACTACTATTGATTTAGTTGGAGGCATATTGTGTCACATTTGTCATATAACATTTGGGAATAAAAAAGATTTTGATAACCATTATGTGAAACATAATACAGGGAGTACAGATATAGTTTACACATGTGTTGTATGCCATAAGAATATTGTCGGTTACCGCAGCTTCCACGGTCACTGTTATCTGGTTCATGTCACCAAAGACAAATTTAAGTAAGTATACACAATTTTTTCACAGTTCTCTACAATAAAAAAAATATTTTTGTGAGCAATAAACAACTTTATCTTAAAACATAGCTGAAAGCCAAGTTGAACATTATTGATCAATCAACAGTTATTGTTATTCATCAGTTATCTCATAAAAAATTGTATACTTAATAGAATAATGTTAGAGGACTTTTTATTGATTTTTTGTCTATTACTACCAACATATGGTTTATACAGATAATTTATTTGCTTGAACATTGTTTTGTTTACAGTGCAAGTGCAATAAAATAGGGTGTAGATTTTCACCTCATAATCAGGAGGCAATATTATACATTTTTATTAATTATTTACACTCAATATTATTTATATTGAGTGTCCTGTCGATTCATGCAAATAGCAACAGCTGTTTCTATGAGTCATTTGTGTATGAATGTTTTCTAAGATATATTAAGATATGATAATGTGTGTGTGTAATGTAATCTAGAGTAAGTAAGAGTCTAAATTAATTGTTCAACACACAAGTTTCTTGCTCATTCTTCTTGTGATGAATCTGCGTTCCGAATGAGCGGTAGAATCAAAATATGACTATTCAAAAGTGTTGGTAATGAGTTTATTTGAATAAAGATTATTTCTGTTTCACAGATGCGAAATTTGCCCCAAATTTTTTTCAAAACTTTGCATCCTCAAACAACATATGGACACAAAACACAATTTTGTCTGTTCATCATGCAAAAAACAGTGAGTATTTTTATAATAGCTCAGTGTAGTGGTATGGTAGTTAGGAAATTATTTTAAGTAAATGTATATTCTATGAATTCTCTAACTTGTATGTTTATACATGTGTTTGTACATATTAGGGAGGAGAACAATAATAATTTATTTATTTATTTATTTTATTTAAATACCTTTATATATAAATAAAGAGTACATATGGCAGACTTAACGCCTGGCATTTTCTACCAGTCAACCATGAGTTGTGCAGATATAAATTGTTGGCTGTGCAAATAATATTATAATAATTTTATAGAATATACATAAATAAATATTGTTACTTGACAATCCATTTAATTTTAAACAATAGTCTAATGTGATGTGCTTTATTTATTAAATTGTTTGTATTTCTTTAATTTTTTATTCTTATTCATTTATTTAATCTGTTTTTCTTTTCAATAGTATTGACTGGCAATCTGTTTATTTTTAAACAATAGTCCAATCTGATAGCTCTTTTTGTTAATTTGTTTGTATTTTTTTTCCCATCGCGCCAATGATATAATCAACAATTACTTTACAGATTTTCATCAGCAAAAGAATTGCAACTACACCAAATTGTACACAAAAACGATGAGAGTCCACCCTATGACTGCCACAGTTGTGGTCAACAGGTTGATAATATTGACAGCTGTGAACAGCATATTGAACAGCACTGCGAATTGTTCTACTCCTGTCCTATTTGCAATGAGAATATACCCAACTTGTCCAATGCTTCAGACCATCTGATTAAGCATTTTGGCAAAGTACTCAACAGAGAATATGAAACAGGAGTGGAATATTCAGAGTCACCCATTATACCTAAAGATAGCTCCATTGATATCGTCGGTGGGATCCTCTGCTGCTACTGCAAGAGTATCTTCAAGAATAGAGTTGAGTTTGATATGCATTTTTCGATGGAACACTGTGGCAAAGATATAGTATACTCATGTAATATTTGTGGGAAACAGTATGAGAAATACTTCTTGTTTGGGAGCCACTGCTACGATCATTTTGCCAAAGACCGGTTTGAGTGAGTATTACATATTTATCATGTAACATAAGTAATTATATGAAAATTAACCCCTATTATCCCTCGTCGTCTGAATGTGTGAATGGCTAGACGATTTCCCTAATTCTTTTTTTGTTATTATCTCTGCTAAACTTTAGACCAAAAAGGCCCTCATAATTATAATAAGAAATATTTTACTTGATTCAGTAGTTTATTCCTAACATCATATTTGTTTCTTTTCTTGAGGGCAATAGCCGTCTAAAACGAAACGGTCGTTTTTGGACACTGCGGCTGCTGGCACAAATATGCATCCAGCGTACAAGTAGAAGCCTAGTGTAATGTTTTGGAAATAATTTATGTGGTAGAATTTTGTTTTGCACCTGTTAAATGACTTGCAGCTTCAGTATGCATGTTGCAAAGGAAGTAAAGCGATCGTGTTTTCTCTTGAATTCAATCTCAAATTAATATTTTAATCAGAAAATGTTAAATTATACTTGTAATATTCTTAAAATTACAAAAATATATAGTGTTTATTTTTTAACATCACTTGTTCCTAATGTCCCTCAATGTGTTAATTTGAATAATTTGTAGATGTGAAGAGTGCGGCAAAACATTCTCACGCCTCTCTCTGCTAGTGATACACACAGAAGCATTCCACTCAAGCGACACAGTAGCTGCCAAGCCATTTACATGCACTCAGTGTGACCATGGCTTCATGACCGAATCGCGTCTCCGCGAACACCTGCGGGAGGCCCACTCCATACAGCGTATCCAATGTCCTGCAGAGGGGTGCCAGGAAATGTAAGTATTGATCCATCATATGGTTTTTTTTTACCACAGATAATTGTTTTACCCCCTTTTTCACTGTTGTTTATGTTTATATTTAAAAATTTTTTAACAGCTTACATATTTTTGTATATTTAAAATATTACTATTATTTGAATCAAAACCTTTGTACGACTTTTTACGAAACATGCGCGGACGGAAGAGTATGAAATGTCATACACTTATACAAATGTTTATATACAAACGGAATGCAGAATACTAATATAATTTTTATTTATTCACAAAAAATACCATCTATTTGACGCTCAAATTCTTTGATACTCTTTTATTGCCAGTGCGACTGCCAGTGCCTGTGATTATAGAAGTATAGTCTTTTACAATAGAACCTTAATCATTTTCAAACTTATAATTTAATTAGTGTCGAATTATGACCACAGGATGACCACTAGTTTTGCTTAATTGTCATAAGCATCATTACATCAGTCTGTCGAATCTATTATTAGACACTGTTATTTCTGTAATTTCGTTCCCTTCCCTTCGTCCCTGTGATACTCAGTCATCAGTCTGTTATTAATCACTATTCTGCCAGTGACTACTATCTCTCTAATGTCACGTCCATAGTTTGCCGGCAAAAGTATTAAAAATGATTTCCTTTATTCCTCAGATTTGAAACGCCAAAAGATTTAATCTTGCATAAACGTCAACATAAAATAGTCGACAGTCATAGGTGCAAGCAGTGTAGCCTCCACTTCACCACAATGACTGCCTGCGAGAAGCATATACCCGTGCATTGCAAGAAGCAGTACTCCTGCCCAGTATGCAACAAAAGCTACAGTGAGAAATACCTCATCATGAAACACGTGCCGCAACATTTCTCAGCTATTATACACATATGCAAAGATTGCGGTAAAATGTACAACGCCAAGAATCGTCTAGTAGAGCATACGAAGGTACATACCAAGGATCGAGTCCACAAATGCAGTTACTGTGACAAGAGTTTCATCAAATCATATCAGTTGCAGCAGCATCTCAATAAACACACCGGTTTGAAGCCGTACAAGTGTGTTAAGTGCCCGAAATCATTTGCAAGCGCCCCTAATTGGTCCAAACATTTGCGTAAGATACACAACATCCAACCAAAGTCCCTCGTGAAGCCCGTGCTGGAGAATAACAATGAAGTGTTCGAAGCGGCCGTACCGAAAGTGAAGAAGACGAACGAAAAGTGCAAGATTATAGAGAGTTATAAAACAGATGGATTAGTTGACTCGATGGGT